TATCACAGACGTAAAAGCAATTATACCAGAGAGGTCACTTAATCTAGAAACAGGCAATAATAATCAGTGGAGAACAAGCGGAAAACATTGAAACTTGTCTTTTATAGGTAATGAGATCTTCCATTATCTCACATTATCAAACTTGAATCTCGCGCAAAAATGATTCTATTTTTAGAGTTTCTTATCCCTCTGTAATAAAAGTCTCTGAACATATTTATCCACCATTAATCTGTTGAACCATTTACCACACATAACGCTTATTAGTCTCGAATTAGGAAAGGCGCCATGCATTGACCTAATGATATAACAAGAAATATTTTAAATGAATATATTTATCTATCTTTAGACATTCAGACAGTATACAGCATAATTGTATTGTTTTATAGTTCATGTAAACATAAAAATGATGATCAGTGTTTAAGATTTTATAAAAAAAGCAGAAAGTCTTTATTTTTGTAGAAATAGCAGTTTCAAATAAATAAAGTTTTACTTTTATTTGTTTTATATTCAAACATTCTTATAACAATACATTGTAAAAGTGTCCACTGTTGCAAGGATGCAATGAATCAATAAAGTGGAACAATATATTATATAGAAAAAATCAGCATAAATCTATCACTGATTATTTGTCCTTAAAATTTCAAATATTGACAGTTGTTATTGTTTGCATTATCTTCGTGTTGCTTTCCCCTGAATTTGGTAGCACTTCAAGAGAATTCCCTTAAGAGAAATCAAATGTACAAATTAACAAGGCATGCAAATTCAATTTAATTGTTTCTGTTTATGCATGTGTCGTCTATCACAAAATGACAGCATCGACTGGGGAATCTTAAGAATAAATCTATAAAAAGACTTTATTTCAGATTATGCTGGGGAAAATCGTATTTGAAAATGGATATTATTTTTGTAAGAAAGTAGTATTTCAATTTAAATGTTTTAAAGGTTTTTGGTTGACATAGTTAAAGATTCTTTGCAAGTATTTTACCAATGACGACGCATTACCCTTATAAGTAAGTTACACGTCCATTGAGCAATCAGTGCATTCATACAAAAAAGTTTAAATATAATTAATAAATGCGTATAATTAACAAAACAATTGCTACTTCAGCTAATACATTGACAGAATCTGGCGGTCATATTTCTTTGAATTGCGCCAAGTGCATAATATTGCCGTAAAGCAATGCCTCCTAGCAAAAGCAAAAGCTAATCTGCAAGACATACGACCAATAGGTGGGTCACGGTGGGCTTCGGAAAAAGGAGGTTTAATTTGACTTTATAGAGATTTTATACAGATTGAACAAATCACCGCACACTATCTTGATATCTTGCGGCTATATTTCTTCGTCTAGCGCTGTGTGTTTTATTGTCAAGGGGAGCCTACAAGTTGTTTCATTGTAACATGATCGCTCCTTTGAGCCGGCCATAATTGGTCTCAGGAAAATAATGCTTTGTTAAAAAAAGGGTCTTACATGCAGACAAGAGTACTTTATATGTACTTTTGTATTTCATTTAATCTTCTTATCTTCTCAGAGTTTTATGGAGCGCCTTAAAGCTCAAAGCAGTATAAACACAAGGCATTGACATCGTCTGGGAAAAGGTTCTAGATTTATGCGTGTTTAAACATGTCAACGAAATGAAATGAAAAAGAATTTTAAAAAATGGCAAACATGTAACGGTCGTATTACTACTATTACATTTTTGCTATTTTTAGTGTGAAATACTCCAATGTTTGACTTGCTGAAAAGTTAACAAAATGTTCAAAGTCTTCCTATACCCTAGACAACTTCTTTTAGGGTTTGGCAATTATTATGTAATATTATTTGACTATGTTTGTTTTTTATAAACGTGCGGCAACATTTTATGAACATTTCCTATCCGCTTATTTAAAGTAAAAGAAGTTGAGGGATAGTTACCAATTGCAGCATAAATACGTCAGCTTGGCCCTAACGAAAATTATCCAAAAGTACGGTACTAAGGTATGTTGGATCAACTTTTTGCGAACATTTCCGATCTGCTCACTGATCTTTTTCTGTTATAATGATTACATATTATGTGACGCACTAATTTGAAGGACAGTGTGGAATAGAGGTCAAAAACCGCCAGACCGACAACATTTATTTGTAACAATTTTCAGAGTCAGATTTTCATGTAATGGATGAAAGATCTATGTAGGTAAGTATTTTCTGTCGGAATAATGATGCATAATAGACTCCTTATAAAATGATACATTGTTGTTTGATATTGTATAGACTAAAACATATTTGTTGTCTGCATCTTAGCTTAGATTAAATGGTTGGTATCTGAGAAGTAGCCAAAGTTTTGCAAAAGATACACAAATTATGCACTAATGAAGACAAGTGTATTTTCAACTTCCAAAAATTTGTGAGATTTTACTGACAAAACATATTTAGTATGTCATATGTCATGAGATGTATAGATATACATTTTTTTATAAAATTTATTTTAAGTAAAATGTTTATAATTCAATGTCAGTCAGAATTTGCAACATTTTAAAGTTTCCTTGTTGTAAAAAAAAAACGTTCCGATAAGGGTATATACTGTGTGTATAAAATTTAATCCTCTTATTTTCTAAGCATTTTATAGAGCTCCTCGTGAATTTCCAATGAACATTAGCGAGACATTGACATTAAACTTTAACGATGGCTTTGGAAACATATGAAAATAGACAAGTTTTAATTAAATGCGTATTTTATAACACGAAGGAAAACCAAGAAAACTTTCACAAAGAAGAACATCATATTTTTATTATTTTGCTTCATTGAATCATAAACAGAAGGCTTTTTTGACGATGATAAGGCGGGAATTTTTGGGGGGATTTTTTATTTATTTATTCTTTTTTTTTTTTTGGAGGGGATGGGGGGAAAGAAATATTCGTATTGGCACCGGTGTTTGAATTGTTGAACAAAATGTCCAAACATATTGTTACTGTCAACTTCTTATAGAATTAAAAAATGCTAGATCATATATTATTATGTGTTTTGATAACGTTGTTTTTTTTACAACAGACAGCTAAAGTAGAAAATATGAGCCACGTCACGACAAAACCAACATCCGCGCAGTCTGATCAGAATCCATGCTGTTCGCTATCAGTTTCTCTACTTGTAATAGGGTTGGTAAGCGAACAGCATGGATCCTGATCAGACTGCGCGGATGCGCAGGCTGTTGATCCATGCTGGTCGCAAACCCATTATGTTGGGTTTGTCGTGACGCGGCTCATATGTTTAATTGTTTATAAAAAATTGAAATTGTTTGTAAAATTTATGTTTGATAATACAAATGAAAAAGAATATGATGAATAAAGCATTCCGATGTAATATACAATTCGTAAATATTGTCTATCTACGAAGTATCATACATGAGAATTTCTTTATCTTTTTATTTTTTTAGTACTAGGAAGGGGTAACGTCGCACCAACAGAGTATATGGCGACTTTCCAGCTTTACTAGTTGAGGAAGATCTCAGGTGCCCTTCTTTACATAAATTCAAGCAAAACAAGCACCTGAGTAGAACACCAACAACGTTCCGTTACCTTGCTGGATAGCTTTTTATACGAGATTTTAATGCAATATGCACAGCAGTCCAATTGTGATGGGTTTACATTTTCTAATCTAGCTTTTACAAAATATCATGATAACGGGATAAGAATCATGTTTGAGGATTCTCTCCAAGATTTTAATGCTTTTAAGCTGTCACAAGAATTCAACTAACTAATCCTTTTTGATGAAGACCTATTTGACTATGATAGTCAGATTAAACGATTTTCTCTGAGGGCAATAACATCGTCACGACAAAATTATCAAACTAAATCCGCTGAGTCAGACAAAAAAAGTAATTGATGTTTGATGACGTTGGAATAAATGAATGAATATTTATTTTTAGGAGATGAACTAGTTCCATAAACATCCAATGAACTGCAAAGGTAACAAATTACATAAATGATAAATCTTTATGATAATAACGATAGTTCTATGTTTTTACGATAAGTAAATTGTTCAAAATGTAATTCTTTTACAGGGTAAGCTTTTCAACAATCATCCCTAATAGTTTTGACAGGTTATATTGCTCTATATAAACGGCTGTTCGGAAATATAACCCGAGCCGCCAGGCGAGGGTTACTAGTATATTGCAAACAACCGTTTATATACGGTCATATAACCTGTCAGAAATATTTATAACGAATTTATAATACAGGAAACTTCCTTTTTTGAGAAAACAAGTGAAATTTCTTATAAACTGACAGCAGCTGTGCATATATAACTATATAAACGACACGATTATCCAATAAAAAGTGACGTTACAAACGTGCAGTATTATAAAATATTATGTTCAGTGATTTGCACTATTTTCTAAATATGAAAATACAAAAAAAAAATATTCATTGCAATCAAATGGATTTCCAATAATGATAATATAATATGTTCTTATTACTTTCATACAGAAAGTTTGACATAAAATCTGTCAATTATTGCTGTTCAGCTCAAGCTCCTTATATCACGACGAATGCATAATCGACACAACCGGTCAAACAAGTTGGCTTTTGAAAACGTGTTAAGCGATGTTCGATATATACATAGAGACCGGCTGTACGTGTATATGCCCATTATGGAATGCTATTATATTTACTTATCCTTACATTTCAGTCAATAACAATGGATGTTAATGTCTGGTAAATTTCCGTAAAGCTGATGCACCTATCTTTCGACACGAACATTTTAATTTGATACAAAATGACTGTGACCTTGACCTGAGAAAGGTCAAACCTGCACTCTGCACATAGTCTCATTATGGTTAACATTTCTTCCAAGTAGTTTTTATTTCCTTCCACCGGTTCAAGATAGACCAGGCGCGAAAACTGCTAACAGACGGACGGACGGCCAGGTGCCTAACATTATACACCGATTTTTTAGTACTTTATTTTACGCTGAATGTAGAAACGGTCCCAAGGGCAAAAGTATAATGACAAGTCAAATCAAAAGATTTTTTTTCCTCATTTATATATCATTAAAATATTTTCAACAAAAGACAAAGGATAGAATATTCAGAGGTAATAAAGTACACTAAAACTGTGGTAAAGATAACATCCAAATAAAGACCACCCTGAAAATAAAGACCCCTCTTTGACAAACATTCACTGATAAAAAAAAATACTACAAAGTAAACTTCAAATAAAAGACTACTTGTCTAGAAAGACCATGTATGGTCTTTCTTTTAGGTGACCTTTATTTCCAGATTAGACTGTAATGTTAATGTTCATTAACCTTTACATTGCTGGAAAGGATAGTGATATAAAAGCTTTTCCATCAGTATGGAGCCAGGCAAGCCTGTACATCATTACAGTCCGACCTAGGCTCAATACTGATGACATCCTATAAATTGCAACGGACTGTACGATATTTTGTAATTCAAAGCAGGTAAAATCTATATGTGAAGGGTTAAAATCAAATTATATAAATAAGATCAAACAAAGGAGTTTAAATTCTGTCATGCAACAGTACAGAGAGTCACTGAGATAATGTAAAGATGAAGTTTAATAATTACTGTAACTGAAATTGAATCAAATAGTTTCGGACTATAAATTATTGTAAAAATAAACTCAAGTCATATAGTTTCATAATTTAGTAACCATTGTACATTGCCAAAGTATTTAAATATCAGATTGCAATTACAATTTACATGACAAAGAAATCAAGAAATTGTGTAAAACATTATATATAATATCATCACAAAACAACAGTGTTACAGAATTTTAGTTTCCATTGACACATTTACAAGACATAGAACAATTATTAATATCAAAAAGATTGTTTTGGCACCATATTTTATTTTTCCTTTAACAGTACAGCTACTATAGCATCATCACTGTGTATTATAATAAATATGTTCTCTTAAAATTGTTCACATCTTTTCAATATACATGACAATAGATACCACATGATATCACCTTATGACAACATTGTAACAAATTTTTCATATTGTCACCACATGACACAGACATACCCGACATTGTTACAAAATTTTATATTCTAATCACATGACACAGTCATATCTGACATTGTTACAAAATTTTATATTATCACCACATGACTGTCATATGTGACATTGTTACTTTATTTCTATATTTTAACCACATGACACAGTCATATGTGACACTGTTACTAAATTTTTATATTTTCACCACATGATTGTGTCATGTGTGACATTGTTACTATTTTTTTATATTTTCACCACATGACTGTCAATACTAGTAACTAAAAAAAGCCATCACTTTTTATTGCCACAACATGACATTACCACCACATTACATTTTCACCACATGACAATTACAGTCTATTGTTACAATGTGACCACATGACACTTTTATGAGTCTATACATGACCGTTATGACATGACAAAACTAAATGCTATTGTCACCTGACAATTTTACCAACTGGCATCACTGAACTGTAACATTGTCACATGGGATATCACATGTCATTATAACAAATTTATATATGGACAACACATGACACTGTAATATCCATGTGTTACATTTATATATCACCATATCACATCAACTTCTGAGGTAGATAGACATGCTGCTATATGACTGTCTAATTCCATTTGACTTATCCTGAAATATTGCAAAGAAAAACATAATGGAAACATTACTGTTAAAATAAATTAATGATGATTTTAGGTCTACCATTTACGTTTTCAACTAATTCATACATTGTATTTCTTTCAGTTCCAGTCATTGAATTTTAGATTTTGAATTTACTAGCCCGAATTCCAGTTTTGAATTCATTTTACTATATATTTAACTATATTTTCTTAAAATTAACACTGACCCAAACTAATTTTTACTGGCCATGGGCCACCGGGCCAGTGCTAAATTCGAGGAGTGCAGTTCACTCTACAATATTCTATCTGACATAAGTTTTTCATAAAATTTTATACAGTCATTTGAATTCTTTATTTAGGTATTAAACAATTATGTAAAATCTTTCATTAAAATGCAATACATGACAAGGTTAGTTTTCACAAGATCTGAAGATGTATATTCTTCATAATCCCAAACATCAAACCAGAGACACCTTGAATACAAATCATATGCCCTTGGTTGGGTACTGAGCTAAGAGGTCAGGGTCAAGTTTGTTTAATGCAAGCTGCAAAAATCAAGTGCAAAAATAATACAATTATACATATATGTTTAAACTAAAATCCGAATATACATGTACATCCTAAAGGGCTCTAAGAATAAATACAAACCTTGATTCAAATTTCATTTGACATAAAGGACAGCTCTGTAATGTGACGTTTTCCTTCTTAGCACCTGTGACATTTCCACAATCATTCGCAGAGCTTGTCTGAGGTATTTCGTTACTTGGTTTTGCTGAACTGCTTTCCCCTTTTCTTAAATAATTTTTATCAGGAGTTTTTGTCTTTGATATGCTGGTACTTACTTTTTTTGGAGGAAAAATGTTATCTTTGGACCTTTTGTCCAAATAATTATCCTTCAAGTTTGATAAATTAGAATTTCTATGATGCAATCTTGGCATCAATTCCTGAGTGGCTGTATCACAGATTCTAGGTCCCTTCAAATTAATTTTGTTGCTTTTACCAGCCCCAGAGTTTGATGTTCTTGCACTGACCTGATTAGATGAACTTTCCTTTTGATCCATATCTTTACAATCCTTTTGAGTAATAGCTGAATGATTTGAGGGACAAGTATTTGACACTAGTCGCCTTGATTTATCTCCTAGTTTTGTGGATGTATTTCGAGACTGTAAAGAATAGAAATTAGAGTTTCTATCTCTTATAATAGCACTATTATCTTCCCTGTAGTCAGCTATATTACGTGAGGCAGGTGCTTTATATTCACTAGTATTTTCACACATATTATATGAGGTAGATGCTTTAAGTTCATTATATGAATCATTGACAAAAGAAACTGAAGGCTTGCTTCCATCTTTATCTTGTATCTCTGTCTCTGAGGTTTCCATTACTCTTTCTTGAACTTTGTCTAAGCTAGGCTCATTGGAATTGGTGTGTTTCGACACATTTGGCAACTTTCTAAAATGTTTACAAAGTTTTGGGAAGGGGGGTAACTCTTCTACTGACTGTAACTTAACAACTGGTTGTAGTCTCCCTTTGCACAAGCTTGACAATTTCTCCTGTATGTTGCCGTTGCCTTGAACCTAAAGATAGACAATAGACTTATTTATATAGGCAAGATTTAGCTACATCTATAAAGTTAGTGACTACATGTACACAATGGTTGTGTAAAACACAAGAGAGTAAACTGTGAGATCATTCTTCACTGTACTATAGCATGTATCAATGTTTAAAATAAATAATTATCAAAATATATATATATATAATTATATATATATATATATTTTTGTAGGTAAATACATGTAATAAAGTTTACTTAATAATTCATATGGTTGAGTTTCATACATGCTGACACTATAATAAAAGGTAATCTGGCAAGTCTTCAGCTTTTACTGCCAATACTGGTGAAGAAGACCTCAGGTGCCCATTTATTTTAGGAACAAGCAGTGGAACCAAAAACCATTGTAAGCCAATTTGATATTTTCCTCACATGATTTGCTGATTTGTTGGTATAGTCTTGAACTCTGTTATAACTTGAACTCAATGAACTAATCAACTCTGCAACATTGTAATAAACTTTTAACTTGCCTGAGTATTGAATGCTGGAAAAGGGGATAGATTTGCAATATCTATATCTCTAGGTGACAAGGACAGTATCATCTCTCTTAATCTGTTTAAACTTGGGTTGTCGGTCTGTAAAAATCTTCTGAAAAAAAAAAAAATGCTTTTTACTATTATTTCTAAACATCCGTTTGATTTTTCATTATACGACAACATAATAAATACTCAAGTCTCCATGAAGAAATAATGACAAGGTAAGTATATCTCAATAGTGAAATGTCTTGCGAGTGAAACATCTGCAGTGTTGCATCTAGACCACGCTTTTGCGTGATTTGCTTATTTTTTACCAGATCTTGCATTTTAATGAAATCAATGCATGCAAGACATGCATCAGACAATCTATCAGTGTTGCATCTAGAATTTCAAAATTATGGGGGATTTATACCCCACTCAACTGAAAAATGTGAAGGATTAGAAAAAAATGTGGGGAACATGCATTTACCTAACAATATGACGTACTAAAAGAATTCATTTATTTTATGTTTAGGCATTATTGACAGCTTAGAATTAGTATTCATCTACGAAAAAATATAATATTGATGACTACTAAGTACATGGGTGCAAGTTGAAAATATGGAAAAACCTGACAACCTTTATTCATAATCATTTTCCTTCATAATCTAACAGTAAAACATGAAAAAATTGTCACAAAAAACCTGAGCTTCAGGCATATGCCTGAAAACTTGCACCCATGTAAGTAAAGTGCGCTGATCAATACACACGCCAGACGACCTGGCCGGCTGCTATACATGATTTAGAACGTATTTTAGTCGTCATCGCGAATGAAAACAAACATGGCAGGAGCGTTAAAGATACCACAAAGATTAATTGAATTAAGTTGAAAATGTCATCAGATGCGCGACTTGGTGCGCATCAACATGAAATGGACGATCTGCTTAACTAATGTGCACGTCACGCAATTGTCCAGCCTAGCTGCAACACTGTCTTTTCAAATTAATTCAGTTAATCTTCATTGTATCTTTCAAGAACGCTTCTGCCATGTTAGTTTTCACTCCTGGTAATGACTAAAACACGTACTTAATGTGTAGCAGCCAGCCGGGTCATCTTGCTGTTAAAAATGCCTGAATATATAATAAATTTATTGTTTTTGGTATGTCAAATTGTTAGATATGTGCATGTTCCTAACATTTTTTTCAAATTCCCATGCAAGTTGCAACACTGTGTCTGGCATTCTCCTTTCAAAAAGATAAATGATTTGTATATAATTTGGCCTACTTAGAACTTTTAATCATATCTTGTATCAAGTTTTCATTTATAGCGAACTCAACAAGCAGGCCCAAAGGGCAAAGTGAGCTTTATGATAACGCGAGTACCTGCTAGGTGATGGTTTTGAAAACTTTCGTCCGAAGTACCGAATTGACACATCGCAATTTTTCGAATTACAAGATAACGATAAAAACTGAGGAATTCTGACTGAAAACGGATGTGTAGACTGGTCACCTGTGCACGTCTATGGGAACCATAATTGGACAGGGTACCAGAATAACGGAAGCTGTGTATAAAAAATGAAAATCGAAGGCGCCATTTTGTTTGAAATCTGATAAATAAAAACAATTTTTTGTCGAATTTTATTGTGAAAACTATCTAGAATGAAAGAAAATGGTCTAACTAAGAAAATGAGTCCGAACACCAATATCTTTTATTCAGTCGTTAACGCTGTACAGACGTTTAAAGTATTGTTTACGTGACATCACAATGTAGCACCAAACAGCACGTGCAAAACAAACAAATCAAGTACGCTATTTTTATGTCGCAAACGTTTTAAGTTTTACATTTATTTCACTTTAAATAATCTTTATTTCGCTTGAAAAATTATAGAGTGAAATAAAATAAACAAAGTTTTATCAACGTTTTCAAAACTCGTTATTCATTTCACGACAGGGGCGGGGCCATATTTAACACAGTACGTGTGACGTCACACGCACTCAATACTGCATTTGAAATAAAAATGAGCGATTATTTCATACTATTTCACGTAAAAAGTACATCGAGCTCGCTTTGAGGCTTTGCCTTGTTCATATTAGCGAACTCGACGAGCAGGCCCAAAGGGCAAAGCCAGCTTTATGATAACGCGAGTACCTGCTAGGTGATGGTTTTGAAAACTTTCGTCCGAAGTACCGAATTGACACATCGCAATTTTTCGAATTACAAGATAACGATAAAAGCCGATGTACTCTGATTGAAAACGGAAGCGTAGACTGGTGTCCTGCGCACTTATATGGGAACCATAATAGAAAGGAGGGAACCATAATAGAAAGGAGGAACCAGAATAAACGGAAGCAGTGTATAAAATACCGAATGACAATTTTAAAACGGAAACTGTAAAATAAAAATGAACGATTATTTTAAACTATTTTACGGTAAAAGAAAATCGAGCTCGCTTTGAGGCTTTGCCTTTTTCATATTAATTTTATTACATCTATTACACATAAATACAGTAATTTTTTGTACTTTTCGTTTGGATTTGAAACGTTTTCGTTTTCCGTATGCGTCAACTTTCTTTGTTTACATGGACGACTTCCGTCACCTTCCGAGTCCGAGGATAAAGTCACTGTTTCAACGTTATTAACATTATTGTCCACTTCAGTACTAACTCTCACTTTCTGTTGAGGTATTCTGCGTTTTAATCGCAATTTCTTGCTTTTGTCCATAATTAATTTACCCGCTTCCGTGTGAGTGAGCACCTTCTCCGTGAAGAGTATTTGTAGAATAGTAAATACGATTTCGAGACGTTTCGGCCCCAAGACGTATTGGCCCCAAACTACCCAAGACGTTTCGGCCCCGGACGTTTCGGCCCTTTACCAAATCGGCCCCAGAATAAGTACTGTATTTTAAACCGATATATTAATAGCATTTCAATAAAAAAATTAATCAATTTATATATATATATATATATATATATATATATATATATATATATATATATATATATATATATATATATATATATATATATATATATATATATCTAATCATTTTGTATAAAAACTAGATTATTATAGTAGTAGGGGGAAAGTAATCAATACAAACAGAACAGAACATAAACTTTATTTGAAAAAATAATATGAAATTAGGCAAAGCCTATGAACGGGGAAGTCGGGAAAAAATCCTTTCATTTTTCCGTTTTAAAGGTGTCATTCGGTATTATATGTACCCACTTCCGTTTTCACTCGGAACACTCGACGATTATTATTAATCCGAAAAGTTGAGAATTGTTCCGTTATCGGAATACATCGCCTTTTATCATTGACTTACATTGTAAATGGCGGCGCCTAACTAGAACTGACACTGAAAATTTCATTGATAGGTATAGAATTCAATATTTTTTATTTGTTTTTTATTTGATTTTCTTTTAAATATACACGTGTAGTCTATAGCCGGGCAAGCCAAAGCCCGGGCCCGCTTCGCGGGCCCGGCCTTTGACTTCCCCGTATAATACACAAACAAACAATTATTAACCATATATAGATAATATTTTATTTGAATGATTAAGAAGCAAGACACAAAATAATACCGCCAATTAGCATAAAGTATAAACAGTTAATTAGTTACACTTTGAAAAAATTACGTATAGTTTAATTAAGATCAAAAGATAATGTATTCTAAGGAAAAATTGTAAGTTACTTTCTTAATCCAGAAGTTTTAGTGGTTTGTTTTATAGGTAATTAACCGGCCTTTATTGTTTGTTACACCTTTAAAAACATTAACGTATATCTAAATGGTTCAAGAGATCAAAAGATAATAAATAATTATTCAAAGAATTAAAGTGTCATAATTGTTTAATTGTAATCAATCAAGCAATACACTATAGTGGGGCCGAAACGTCTCGCGGAAAAGGGCCGAAACGTCATAATTGTTTAATTGTAATTAAATAAATTGTTGTTAATCAATCAAGCAATACACTATAGTGGGGCCGAAACGTCTCGCGGAAAAGGGCCGAAACGTCCAGGGGCCGATTTTTCGACTGGGACCGATTTGGTTTGGGGCCGAAACGTCCTGTTTGCGTAAATACTACGAAGACCAAAAAATACCGACAAGGACTGACAAATACTAAAAAGAACAGAGAAAACGGCGGATACTGCATTAAATATTGAAATGTTTGAAATTAAAAAGTGAACTCTGCAAAAACAAAGATTGTAATATTTTCTAGGGGCAGGAATCGCACCTCAATTTTCTTTTGATGATGAGAACTTAGAATTAGTACATGATTTTTCTTATCTAGGTATTCAATTTATAGAAAATGGTAAATTTGTTAAAACTAGAAAACGTCTTATTGATCAAGCTATGAAAACTATGTTCTCTCTGATAAAAAAAGCTAGAAAATTGTTACTATCTGTAGATCTACAGATCCACTTGTTTAACACAATGATTGTTCCTATTCTTTGTTATGGCTCTGAAGTTTGGGGAATAGAAAATTTAAAGTGTATTGATCAGTTTCAGCTTAAATTTTACAAAATTATACTTAACCTCAAGCAAAGTACTCCCAATTGTATGTTATATGGTGAACTTGGAGTTACTCCGATATCTTTGCAAATAAAAAGTAGAATTATTAACTACTGGTGTAAGCTTTTGAATGGTAAAGATGATAAGATTTGTAATATTTTATATAAGACTGCATACTCTGTATATGTTAGATATAGAACTGAATTACCGTGGCTTTCTTTTGTTAAGGATACTTTGGACGGACTTGGTTTATCAAATTATTGGTTAAGTCAATTTGTAAATAGTCCGTTTAATTTCAAAAGTCTTGTTAAGTCCAAACTTCAAGATCAGTTCATCCAAAGTTGAAACAGTGATGTCCAATCTTGAAGCAAATGTTTAAACTACGTTTATATAAATCAGAGTTTGTGTTCGAAGATTATTTTAACATACTTCCTTGGCAATTGTCTTCAGCTTTGTTAAAATTTAGATGTATGATTAAAATTTAGATGTATGAATCATAAAATGCCAATTGAGAAATGTATAGATTCCTAAATATAGAGAGAAATCTACGTATATGTACTTTATGTGAGTAGGACCAACTGGATGACGAATTTCACTATCTCTTTATTGTTCACATTTTACAATCAAACTCTTTAATGGCGGGGTCAGCACTCGACAGCGAAAGCTGCATTTTGTGCACTGAATGGACACTCAATTAAGCATAGGCTACACACACAAACTTTAGAAATAAAAATGATTAGGGGCACAACACTGACAAAATTAATTGAACCAGAAAACGCCGACGATATGCAAAACAAGACTTGGTAATTCTTTAATTCCTGTAAAGCTTGGATGAAATTGCACCAGTAGTTTTTGAGGAGTAGTCCGGACAAGTTTTGTGACGAACGTACAGACAGACAGACGACAAAGTAGTGATCCGTATTTGTCGCTTCTACTCTGTAGAGGCGACATTAAAATGACTGGTGCATTGTGGGAAATCATGATAATCATTCAACTGAGAATTGGTTCCATTTATAGGAAAGGGAATGTGTATATTTATGAAATTATTGTATGTTATATGGTGTTATATGTAATTACTTACAAGACCATGTTGGTATGAAATTAAAAGATTTTGTTTGTTTGTTTGATTGGGTTTTACGTCACACCGACACAGTATAGGTCATATGTCGACGTTAATTCCAGCTTTACTGTTGGAGGAAGACCTCATGTGCCCTTCCGTGCATTATTTCAGGCACGAACAGGCACCTGAGTAGAACTACCGACGTTCGTTAGCTAGCTGGATAGCTTCCTCACATGAAAGAATCCAAAGTCACTGTCGGGATTCGAACTCACAGCGGTGAGGGGCAAGTGGTTTGAAGTCAACGACCTTAATCACTCGGCCACGGACACCCAAAATTAAAAAAAGATAAAACGTGTTATATTGTTAAGAGTTTAATATTGATATTTTACGACATGACATGATGTATGTTTAACACTGTTCAAGAAACGATTTATTTTAAGTTATTGATGGAGCGGTATGTCTTTTACAAAGAAATAAAATATTTTAGCAGCAAATGATTTTGAAAAAAAACAACAAATGAAATATAAAATAATGAATCTATTGAATGTTACAGCTGAGAAATGAATAGGTTATTTTGTAGTTTTTCGCGTGATGATGTGAAAAGGCAAAGATAAAAAAAAATACGAAACGCACACAAATTAGTATTTTCGTCGTTTTTCGTACTCTTGCCATTTCGACCATCCTGATGAAAACCTACATGAAACAAATTCCCAAACATAGTTTGATTAACAGGTAGTACACATCTATTCCTTACATATACAAAATAGACGTTGAGATACTTGATCACAGTCAAACAGTTTTATCAAATAAAGCAACATTAAGACGCAAATTTACACAATGTATTAAAATGTAATTGATAAACATTGTAATACCACAAAAACAAAAGTCCAACAAAAATCCCCAAAATACTATGATTGTTTTAACAAATTGATATAAAAAAACAAAAATGCGAGTCAAACATGACACTTTTGCGAAAATAGAATGTGAAAATCATTACAGATTAGTTAAGAATTGGCTCGAGTAATACTTAGTACGAATGATTCACTTACGTGTCACGTGCGAATCAGTAAGGATGAAGTCCCGGTTTATCGTAAATAGCGATTAACTTTATGCTTGACATTCTGCATTTGAAATAAATTTACAAATGATTTATTCGTCTGGAGAAATTTGTTTGAATCGATTTCCTTACGCAATTAAATTTTATCTCGGCACTTATAAAATCACAATCCTGGTGCAGTAAAGTTTTTCGGATATCAACATGCGAGTTACAATAAATGGAATATAGCAATACAAACTACTGGCACAAAAAAATGTTTATAAATCTTCAAAAGCATAACCATAAAACGACCTGTAATGTTAAAGGTGACTTCATTCCTTGTTTTAATGACTCAATATATAAAAGCTGTTCGTTATACCTCATTCTTTTCATACATGTGGAATAGTTTCATACTGAACATTCAATTTGTATGCAAGAGAAGAAGACAAAACATTACTACTAAACAAACACTTTCTTACATGCCTCGATCCAGATGAGCCAAAATATTTCAAGAATGCCAAAACTTATGAAAAATGTACATGTACTTAGATTTTGATAAAATCAAAAAAGATTTAAGAAACGATTTACATGTTATGTGCGATTGCAGTACACATATTTATCATCATATTACTACCGCGTGACTAACACAGTAAGGGCTTTTTTGCATATTTTACATCTTGTTATTTGTTGATAATTAACGTGGATTGTAAGTGCCGATTGAAATGCGTAAATTACTTTCTCTTTTCACTAAACTCTATTTTACTTTGAAAATACTTTTTTAAAGTTTTCATGAAAATTAACACAAATCTGGAGGCATGCTGCGTTAATGCTAATTAAAGGACAAACTACATGTACTTAGCTAAAATAATCTAATAATGCCCGGATATATCCTTTCTCTGCTGGAACCGAAATTGATCAGTTTTTGCCATCAGTATAGAGCCAGGCCAGTCAGCTCGTCTAGCTGTGCCATGCTGACCAGGCGACCAGACTTTATGCTGTCGGAAACTCGATCAGTATTGAAATACCTGAAAACTTGAAATGAACTGTTCCGAATTTGAAGGGGAGCACATTTAGAAGATTAAAATTTGTTCAATCAAGTTCAACAAACTTCAAATGAAGTGCAGTATAACCTCGACAGAGGTAATTGGTCTTCAGATGGCTGCTTTGCAGAGGTTATGCTGTATTTTTGTTCACACCCTTTGAAATACTGATCAGTCTTTTCACTTCACTCTTAAATATTATAAAACAATGTACGTTTTCTAACGATATCTATTTGTTTTGAACATACAAATTCAGTTTCGAGATAAGCATATGAATTTATATTGATACTAGTATGTCAAGAAAACTGAGAGAACGATTTATAGTACTGTCCAGAGCATCCAAAATAATCATATTTATTTTTAAATAATTATTAAACACCAAGCTGAACAAGAGGCGAAAAGTGTTATCATGTTTTGAATACATACAATATAAAGTCTGTAAATATCTGAAACAATGCCTTGTGGAGTTTCAAACTGGCCCGACTTTTATTTTTACACAATCACATCATCTCGGTCCTTTCCGTCAAACTTTGGATAATTGTTAATAGCCAGATGTTCCAAATATTACATCGTCATACGCTCTAAAAGGCAATATGTCTTGTTGTATATCAAACTATCTAGAATATCAAAAGGCCATAAATATGAGAAAATAACTTTTATCACTAGTTTGTCACAATGCTAAAGGAACATTCACACACAGTCTAAATTAATTATATGCTTTTTATGGTGGCCTTAAAAAATAACCACACATTATAAAAACCCATTCAATTTATTAATTCCTTCGAAAGAACTGGGTAATTTCTTCAAACTTTACTGTTGTTGCTGTTGTTGTGATGTGAATCATGACTCCACTTCAAAACGCTTTCTTATATTTTTTTCAAGTTTCAATATCATTAGCTAACTACTTTTTCCAGAATCTTTTTTAATTGTAAAAAAAGACACATATGAAAAAGCGAATAAACGCTTTTAACTCAACAGGCTACAATAGCACAAAATGCGATTTTCAAGAGTATACATGTCACTGTATTTCTTTACTGTCTTTTGCATATTAGGTACTCCAGTTAATCTATGTAAGTACATTATTTCTTATTTTTAGGCTTTCAGACGGGAGTGAAGTTTCTTTAATAATTATTTTTCAAATATTTTTCTAAGACTCATTTTCCATTTAATCACAAACTAATGGCATGGTGACACAGCTATATTGTATCGTATATAGTTTACATACATTTATTAAAAGTCCGTTGACCAGTGACTATAAGTCCTGCAATTCGGCAACGTATATACTTGTCCTTCAACGTTACGTTGTATGTGTATATAGATATGAACAGTTCATTCAACTCTAATAATATGAAAGAAAAATACTGTAACTTGCATTTAATCTTTTCGTCATTTCAAAAAGTATTCCCGAAATATATATATTTTATGACACATTCAAATGGGAGATTCTTGCCACATCCCTATTCTTTCTTTTTCTACAGACTCGGCTCGCTGCCTGTAATAAATTAAGTTATTCAATTTACAAATAGAAAGTTTACACGTCTTCAAAAGTATTTTCTGGTTCACTTTTCTGACTAAGTTGGTTGGTTTCCTTTTTGACAATATGAAACCCAACCGAATTTCTAGTGTAAAACCCGTATACCGATGCCACAGCGTCCATGCACGCCGCCAGTGGTATAATTGGAATTGTAGCAAATATCAACAAAATTTTCCTGATAAGTCCATATCGTCGTAAACTGAATGATTTAATAGATCCAAAAACAAATAAAAATACGATAAGTCCACCCATACTTCCGGCAATTACATTCAACACAAGCGGAAGTGGAATTGGGAAGGCAAAGGATGCTGGGAAGTTCAAAATGTTCAGAACTAGCAGGAACCAGCCTAAGTCTGTTGGAATCATGCCAATTTTGCATTTAAATGGAATTTCTTCGCTGAGAAGGGTATACATATGTCCAATAAACCATCGTTTTCTTTGTTTTACATAATCTCCGAGTGTAAATGGACTCTTTTCCCACATTTCACCCTCAACGAAGTTAAACTTGTAACCTTTACTCCACGCAACTAATGCAAACATCACGTCTTCAGCAACACTCCCTTTGGGGCCAAAATCGAAACCTATGTCTTTTTCTACTGCCTCTCTAGCGATGATGTAAGAGCCTTTAAACCCCATTAATGGACACCCGAGTTTCTTGAAACTAAACCTCATCATGCCCAGATCTACGGAGACACGAACGCTGTCCGCAAGAGTCGTCCACCAATTTACGATTTCTTCATTAGCGTATGAAATTACACCCTGTCCCACATCTCCGTGTTTCTGGCTCGCAAAGTTAGCAAGTCCAATTGTTGATGACTCTGTTAGCAATGTTTCTTCGTCAAGATGGACGACCCAATCATCGTTTGACAGAATATTAACAGACGGCTCGCAGCAGTACTGCAGAGCGCGTGCTTTGAATAGTGAGTTATTTTTAGTAACATACTCGTTAGGAACCACAAGTTCCCTAACCAAAGCGGATTTTGGTAGATTCAAAGCATTGTCTGTCACAACTTCAAACTTAAAATTATCAAGGCCGACTTTGTAGCATGTTTCGATATTTCTTTCGACATTTCGCTTCACTAGATCCGGATACAGTCCACGGGTCACGACCCGGAAACACATGAATGGGATTTTGGCCTTGACCGATTGCATTGTCGGTGCTGGTGGAAACGTGTTCATGGTAACAATACCTGGAAAGATCAAAATAACGATTAGATTTTCTTGAACATATTTTTTTATATTTAGTTTAAAATGACATTTTGCTCATTTTTTCGTCGTCAAGTTGGGTTGGATAAGTAAGATATTTCAAAAAAATTATATGCTTTTTATATTAGTGATTTTGACCAATAATTTGTATGAAAAATGATTATGATGCAATATAAAAACTACATAAATTATAGAATAACTGCCTAACTCTTTTTTTCTAAATTGAAAGTAACCGATATTCCCAATGATATTTATATAAATTTCCATTGGTCATATGCTAATAAAAAAATATTTTATTTACAGAACAAAAATGTAAAACACAAATTGAGCACAATGATGGCAAAATGTCAAGTTATTTTTATTCTTCACTGTTCATTTATACTTAGTTGGGCATATAATGTCATTTTAAAGGTAATTCATAATCGTTTTTATGAATATTCTTCAATATTCCACGTCTTTTGGGACTGAGATAACATATAATAACACTATTTGTAACTTGGAAAAAAACACAAACAAACAATGAAACGACAATTCAGTTTCCTTTTTGAGTTATCATTCAATAAAATATTTGGTGTCCAGGCTTTGAAATTTGGTGAATGAACGTTATAGAGATCAAATTGAGGTGAGTGCAAATTTTCACTTTTCGAAGAGAGTTTTGATGCCTTATTGTTAAGGTCTAGATTTTTTTGTATTTTCCCCCCGAAATTTCAATGATTTTGTCTTTTATTATTTTTATCAAACATTTAATCAATTTGCGTACTTTTTTTATCTTTTAAAATTTCATTTTTTTTCTTCTTATTTTAGATTTTTTTTTGGTTCTTGCTTCATACATACATCTGTGTATTGACTATTTAATACTCCGTTGCTGGGGGTTACCTTTGTACTTAAGAGGCCCTATATAGATATTTGTGTGTATCATAACATGTAATAACCATGTAAAGTCAACACCAGTAAAGTGCATCTTCAAACAAACCACAAACACTTGAAACTTACAAAGACAAGAGTGTATGCACAATACAAGTTATCCCACTATCATTTTAGATCTAGATTACGCAGACGTTTCTACAGAAAATAAGGGAAGCAACTGGTGTTTTTTAATGCGATTTCTCAAGTCTGCTTTAGATTTTAAAAAATGAATTGACCTAAGCTACGTTGTAAACAAACAAAAAATATCCAGTGGTAAATCGGTTTAAATGATTATCCTCTGATTATTTTACGTCAAGACATTTTTGCCAAAATGTTATTGTAAATTCGAAATTGTACTTTTGTCAACGAGAAACCTAAATATTTCATTCAGGATTTAATGGCCCATTGCGCCTCACAAAATGCTATCATTTTTTATTTCTCAATGACTTTTCATTTTTTGGTATCTTGTTACAGTTTCCAAAACATACTCATTTGCTATATAAATGAACTATCTATTGTGTCTTTCGTTCTGTTGGAGATTTGGTATAATTACAGGGAATAAGTACTTTGTATAGAAGTCAAAATACTATACTTTGTTAAAAACATTTTACTACCTTTACGACACATTACTGCATGTTCAGCTCAACGTTGTTCAGTTTTAAAACATCTAACATGCAAGTAATCCATTATTTAGACGTTATTAAACTGTTGTTTAACATTTTTCTAAAGACTGTTTTATAAAATATGGATATTTGAAGCTTGCTGTGCCTTTAATGGAAGCGAACTGAACGGTGGAGCATAGATGGCCTTTAACGTATTGCCTTTAGTAAAAGAAAATACGGAGAACCCCGAGTGCCTCCCAGGGTTCGAACCGGAAGTCTGTGGACACCCAAAATCCGTGCAACTGATCCAATAAGATACTAATAGTCAGGTAAAGGTTTGTTTAAAGTAGTTCACAATTCACAATTACGTATGACAGTCCGTTCTTAACACTAATGTAGGTCAATCGGACTTCATGGCTATCCCACTTCAGAACTACAGTCCACTATAGTATGATGACTTTTCAGCAGGGTTCGGGTGCTAACTATTGTTAAGCAGTAGACGTAACACTGAGAGACCGTATACATGGCGAGGGTTCAATAAATTAAAACTATTGACATTGTAAGTTTTCGTGATGTCTAGGCGAACATCTGTGACCAAAGTAAGCGCCCGAAATGTAAACAAAGTAGAATTTTGACTTCCATATAAAATACTCATTCACTATGATTATACCCACTGCCAACAGACCAAAAGATGTAAGTGATATAGTTCATCTATGTGGCAAATGTTTTGGAAACTGTGACAAGATAAAAAAAGATATTTGAGAAATGAAAATGTGGCATGCTTTAATATTTTCCTTTGTTGTGGAACAGATAAAGGGATTTATTTTACTTTTTCAAAGAACCCTAAAGCTATTGGCGGTTTTCGAACAAAAAGCGGCGAATGGCTAATGGTGCAAGTCAGCGACTTTAAACACTCGGTCAGAGGCCCCTGTAGAACATTACATTTGATACACAGTGTACTTTGTCGTATCCAATGAACAGCAATGAACTTTCAACTTAAGGTTGAGAATAACTAGGCCATTTTGAGTGTTGTTTGTTTATTTATCTGGATTTTACGCAAATTTTACCCCACTTTAGGTCATATCTCGGCAGTCAGTCCACTTAACCACATTTGAGCCGCGTCACGGCAAAACCAACATAATGGGTTTGCGACCAGCATGGATCCAGACCAGCCTGCGCATCCGCGCAGTCTGATCAGGATCCATGCTGTTCGCTATCAGTTTCTCTACTTGTAATAGAGTTGGTAAGCGAACAACATGGATCCTGATCAGACTGCGCGGATGCGCAGGCTGGTCTGGATCCATGCTGGTCGCAAACGCACTATGTTGGTTTTGTCATGACACGGCTCATTTATGTGATAACTAACACCAGTAGCGACCAATTTAACCGCAATTGACCCGTCGCATAATTTAGGTTAGAAACAAAAGATCATTTAAGGCTCAATATCGCAGACCAGTTGTCACAAAAATAATGCCTCGCCCGAAGATCTAACCAGCGACCTCTGGATTCCAATTCCATGCTTGAATCCTAACCCTATTGATTGACTTAAGCCGGACCTCTTAAGTAAAATTAGTTATTAAAATAATAAAGTTACAGCAATAACACGTATAATATCATTTTTTATTTTTCCAACGTTTCGGCAAATGTATGCCTTTTTCAAGGTAAATAAATCATAATAATATCAACGGACGTGACGTCGTAATTTTACAATTAACGTCACGCCCACTTTAGCGGAAAAACGAACAAATACGAACAATTCCAATTCATGATAAAAGAGATAAGTGCACCAAACAAAGCATCAAAATATAAAAACGACACAATAGATATCGGATTAATAAATACGAATATTTCCTATAGGGTTTAATTATAAACAAGAGCTGTCCGTAAGACAGCGCGCTCGACTTTTTTATTGCTTGCCAATAAAAAAAGTTTTTGCAGTAAAAGGCAATACAAGAATCTCTGTATTTTTAAAGTGAACTAGTTGTTTGATACCCTTGAATATTACAGCAATGTTTATATGACATAATTTATGGTAAAGTGAACAAGTGGATAGGAATGAATTTTTTTAGATTTTTTAAGTTTTTTAGTGCTTGCCTATAATACAAAACATTGACAGTTAAGGGCCATAATTCAAATAAAATCTTTGACAGAATTACCTTCTCCTGGACATGTTTGGGAATCATGATTGTAAACAAGTATTCCAACTTTCAAATTAATATCTCAAACAGTTCAGTCAAAAAGTGGACTGGTACTAAAAACTTAACCAAGATTCTAAGTCGATAAAAGGCCTTAATTTTTAAAACAAATCCTTGACAGAGTTACCTTCTCTTGCGTACAGATGGGGGTAATGATGTGAAATAGCATTAAAAGTTTCAAAGCAATATCTCAAAGGGTTAAGGCAATAAGTGGATTTTACCCATATTCAATGTATTTTCTAAGTCAAAAAGGGGCATAATTCTGTCAAAAACCTTGACAGAGTTATGTCCTCTTGTCTGTTGATGAAGGTCGTGATGGTAAACAAGTATGGTCAGTTTCAAAGCAATACCTCCAATGGTTTTGAAATAAAGTGAGGTGGTACAAAAAACTTAACCAAGCTCAATACACTTTCTAAGTCAAAAAAGGGCCATAATTCTGTCAAAAACCTTGACAGAGTTATGTACTCTTGTCTGTAGATGGAGGTTATGATGGTGAACAAGTATGGTAAGTTTCAAAGCCATACTTGTAATACTTCTGAAATAAAGTGGGGTGGTACGAAAAACTTAACCAAGGTGTGACGCCAACGCCGACGCCGACGCCGGGGCGAGTAGGATAGCTCCCCTTTTCATAGAAAAGTCGAGCTAAAAATGATAATAGGAAAAAACGAATATCTATGTGGCGTAATTATAGCATTTGTAGCGTGGATTGATATTTTATGAATTATTTAATTGAGTATAACAACTTTGTGTTCATTCCTTCTGGAAAATGAGTTTTTAGCTTATGAATCCAAAATGTTTCTTTGCACAAACGATCTAAAGTATTGTAAACAACATCTATGGGCATAAATGAAAAGTCGGTAAAATTATGATCGTCCTTATTAAAATGATTTGCAACATTAGTGGAGAATGCAGGATCTACAAAATTGCATATATCAAATTTATGGCTATTCATTCGTTTAGACACAGGTTGTTTGGTTTGACCAACATACTGCATGCTACATTTTTTACATGTTATCAAATATATACAATTCTTGGTTTGACAGTTAGTATGTTGACGTAAGTCAAATATCTCTCCTGTATTCGAACTGTAAAATGACGTACCACTATTAATACGAACACAATGAGAACAGCGTTTTCTACAACAACCTCCAGAATGTGATGTAAAGTCACTGTCAGTATCAAATCTAGATCTAACTAAAAAGTCTTGTAAGTTTCTTGGACGTTTAAAGGCAATTATGGGTGTGTAGTTATTGTGAATATTTTTAACACCTTCGTTTTTTGACAGATTTAGTAGGTCCCAATATTTATGAATAGTATTTCCAATATTAGGTAAGGACGGATTATATGTCACAATAAATGGAAGAACGTTTTTCTTTTCTTTATCTTGTGGCCGTAAGGCATCCTCTTGTGACATCTGTGACACGTGAAGAAACGCTGAATCTATAACCGTCTCAGGGAAATTTCTACTTATGAAGAATTCTCGTAGTTTGCTCAGTGAAGTAGAGAACACGTCGTCGTCGGATATAATTCTCCTGTAACGCTTAGCCTGACTGTGGGGTATTCCGTCTTTACACCGTTTTGGATGACAGGATGTATAATCAAGATATTGGTGGTTGTTAGTTTCCTTTACATAAACATTAGTTTGAAGTTCGTACGATTTTCCTTTTGATACTTGAACATCAAGAAACGAAACAGATTGTTGAGATATGGTGTGGGTGAATTTAATGCTTGGGTGAACATTGTTGATTTTGTCAATAAATGTGTTAAGTTCTTCAAGAGAATGATCCCAAAGCATAAAAATATCGTCTAGAAAACGAAGCCACAATGACGGTTTAAGCTGACTATCTTTCAAAAACTCCTCTTCGAATTTCCCCATAAAAAGTGCTGCGTACGCGGGGGCGACTGGGCTTCCCATAGCGGTACCCATTTTCTGAAGAAAATAGTCATCCCCGAACTTGAAGTAGTTATTTTCAAGAATAAGTTTCAAAAGTTTAACAATTTCATCTGACGAAAGTCTGCTGTTATTATTTCCTTGTCTTAAATAATACAAACACGCATCAGTTCCATCCGTATGTGGTATATTAGTATAAAGTGAAGAGACATCTAGTGTTACCAAATATGTGTTTTTGCTTTGTAGTTTAATATTACGTAATTTGTTGATGAAATCTGTGGTGTCTTTTACATATGATGGCAATCTAAGCATATGTGGTTTAAGTATAAAGTCGAGATACTTTGAAATATTTTCTGTCGGTGAGTTACATCCTGACACAATAGGTCTACCCGGATACTTTAATGGCAGTGTGAAGTCTGGAGATTTGTGTGTTTTAGGTAAGATATAAAAACACGGTGTACGTATGTTCGTTGGAAATACATCAAATTCATCTGAAATACAGTCGTTTGTTTCTTTAATCTTATCAATGCATTCCGATATGTTACATTTAATAATTTCTGTAGGATCTTCCGTACAATTTTCATAGTAGCTGTTGTTTTCGAGTTGACGTAAAACTTCCCGTCGGTAATCGTCAGTATTCATAATAACGATAGTGTTCGATTTGTCCGCTTTCTTTATAATTATACTTTTATCTTGTGACAGTTTACGTAGCGACTCCATTTCAGACTTGGTTATATTACTATAACGTTTGTGTTTATTAATGATACTGGATTGCAATATTTCTTCCGTAATAGCATTAATGTAAAAGTCCAAGTAAACATCTCTTCCAGCGGTGGGGGTGAATGACGATTCTTTTTTATTGAAAAATGGGTGTTGGGAATCTTTTTCACTATCACTTTGAGAATTAGTTTCACAAGGTTCATTTAATTTTTTTTTTTTTTTTTTTTTTTTGTAAAATTAGTTACAATTTTCCAAATTTTCTTAAGTTATTTTGTTCAAGCAACAGGCATATATTAATCCACATTAGAATAATTGTCATTTAATGAGTGTAAAACTCTTTGTTCTTGCCTATATTTCCCTTACATGTAATAAAATTTTAAAAAAAGGAACCTACCTAGAATATTTGTGAGTCCGAAAGGTATTGACAGATATGGAATAGATCTTAGTAAGTACAGCAAAAAGGTCAGAACGTATCCGTATGTCTCTACCGGATGTAGATGGCTCTGATCGTTGGTGGTTCCAAACACCAGATTGAGAGAATAAATGCAGAAACACAGAAGACACACGGTAAGCAGGTGCAGGAACGCTGAACTTATCGTCTGCAACCAACGTGACATATTCTCGCAAAAGTGAGAGCCCGTCCGAGATATCTTTAATTTAGCCGGCCGTAACATTATCGCTCAGAATCTGGAAGGAAAAACGGTTATTTTTTTAAATAAATATATATGTATATGGTATAATACATGTAACTAATTCATGAATAGGTTTTTATTTTTCAGATTTTTGCTGTGAAAAGTGCTGTAACAGAACAAAATATTTAGTCACATGTTACACTTGAATATAACTCCAATTGGCCCATGGGAAATTAACATTACAAAAATTGATGTGAAGAAATACATGCCTTAAGAAGAAACTGCCATTGTATACATGTATTTCCATGAATAACTGTGATAAAACCGTAATATAAGCCAAATATTCATCTAATGTATACTTTAAGAATTCAAAAATGGAAACGCAATACTTTAACAAGAGCTGTCCGTAAGACAGCGCGCTCGACTTTTTTATTGCTTGCCAATAAAAAAAGTTTTTGCAGTAAAAGGCAATACAAGAATCTCTGTAGTGCTTGCCTATAATACAAAACATTGACAGTTAAGGGCCATAATTCAAATAAAATCTTTGACAGAATTACCTTCTCCTGGACATGTTTGGGAATCATGATTGTAAACAAGTATTCCAACTTTCAAATTAATATCTCAAACAGTTCAGTCAAAAAGTGGACTGGTACTAAAAACTTAACCAAGATTCTAAGTCGATAAAAGGCCTTAATTTTTAAAACAAATCCTTGACAGAGTTACCTTCTCTTGCGTACAGATGGGGGTAATGATGTGAAATAGCATTAAAAGTTTCAAAGCAATATCTCAAAGGGTTAAGGCAATAAGTGGATTTTACCCATATTCAATGTATTTTCTAAGTCAAAAAGGGGCATAATTCTGTCAAAAACCTTGACAGAGTTATGTCCTCTTGTCTGTTGATGAAGGTCGTGATGGTAAACAAGTATGGTCAGTTTCAAAGCAATACCTCCAATGGTTTTGAAATAAAGTGAGGTGGTACAAAAAACTTAACCAAGCTCAATACACTTTCTAAGTCAAAAAAGGGCCATAATTCTGTCAAAAACCTTGACAGAGTTATGTACTCTTGTCTGTAGATGGAGGTTATGATGGTGAACAAGTATGGTAAGTTTCAAAGCCATACTTGTAATACTTCTGAAATAAAGTGGGGTGGTACGAAAAACTTAACCAAGGTGTGACGCCAACGCCGACGCCGGGGCGAGTAGGATAGCTCCCCTTTTCATAGAAAAGTCGAGCTAAAAACGAAGCTGTCTTTATTGACGTACAATTTGAGGTAATATCTGTAAAACAATTGCCTATCAATGTTTAAAGTTTTTGCTGAATGTCAATTGCCATTTAAAAAAACTGTCCTGTTTTACAAATATAGAACCAGGCCAATCTGCACTTAAAGCTGGTACAGTTTATTAAACTCTGTATTGTTGCTCTTAAAATTAGCTTTACATATTAAAGTCCTTTAAAACTCTTCAAAATGAGAAGCAGACCAGCTGGGCATGCGCAGTACAAAAATAAAAGGTAATGGATAAAATAATGACCTTATAGTATCTTTATCTTTTTTCTCTCAAGATCAATACCATCTGTTATCTATTAGTTTTAGTTTTGAGTACACAACAGAGAGCTTTAAGAATGTAAACATTTATTTCTTATCTTGATGACATGAGCAGGTATGGTGGGCATTTGGCGGCATTGTCAAGCAACAGCTAGATATGGTTGGCAACATTATCGTAGCAACAGGTATGGTGGGCGAGTGTAGGACAAAAGCCCCCCCCCCCCCCTCTAAAAATGACAAGGTGGACAAAAGCCCCCCACCCCTACCATGAAATTTACACATAGGACAAAAGCCCCCCATCAAAAATACAGATAGGACAAAAGCCCCCCATCTTTTTTCGAACGCACAGGTGCTCAAGTTCATCAAATTTCACACAAACTTCTTTTAAATAAAAATAAAAAGAATTTGTTTTAATGTTTATTTATAATGTATATATTGAAGTGATAACAAAGTATATGATAATAGATGAAATAATGCATGCATGCGATACTGAATTCATAACTTTTCATACACACAACAAGGGTCAGAAGAGTAGTAATGTTTAATCACTTTTGTAAAGGGATCATTTGTAGACATTATCAAGGATCAGGTGTGGTTGGCATATTGGCGACATTATCATGTATAACTTATTTTGGGCACATGACAACATTATAAAATATAATGTATAGTGAGCACTTGACGGCATTATCGAAGCATTATGTATGGTGGGCACTTTGCGACATTATTAAGGATCACTCATTTTGGGAACTATCATAACTAACCTTATCAAAAGTCATGTATGTTGGGCACTTGGTGACATTATCAAAGGTTTTTTTTCCTTTACTCATTGTCCTGAATCAGGTTTATCGCAGAATTTCCATAATACTGTAGATCCCTGATTCCCTCTAGATTTTTTCCCGTAAAACACTTGAACAAAGTCGATCAAATCCATATATACTAGTATGAAAAATCGGCAAATTTGATCGAAAATCTTTGGGTCATAGTGTATGATTAATTATTATCGACTTTAATAGTAGAGGTAACTAATACGACAAAGGTAACCAATACTGAGATGGCACCTACTATTTACCATAGTTTGTATATTTACTTCAATGCCCAAACACCACTTTTTTAACCCTTAAGTGATTTTATATCACTTTAAATTTAAATTTGGGCCCAAAGGCAATTTACAAAGCATTTGGATTTTAGAAATGTACAAAAAGAGTTTAAAAAACTGAATTTAAATCTTTAAAGCATTTTAGCAAATTTACATCTCTTAAAATTTTAAAAATCATTTTAGAAGATTAAAATATGTTTTTTTTTCTGTTGGGGCCAAGATGGGGATTCAATTCATACAGAACCCCCCCCTTTTTTAATTTTAAAAACAATTTTATAACTTGAACGTTGTGCCTATAACCCCGGGGACTTTGATTTTTCATTTTTTGGCAATTTCGGCCAAAAAAAAAAATGAAATAAAAACCCCTTTAACTCAACCCCAAATTTTTTTTTTTTTTTCATCAAAAAAAGAAACAAAAGAAGCGGCGACCTTTAATAAAAAAATTGCAGAAAACGGAAAAAGCTATATTTTTCCGGAAAGATAAAAAGCACTTCCGGTCAAAAAATATTGCGCAAAAAAATACGTGTTCGGTAATTTTTCACTTATGCAAAGCAGTGAAGTTATAACTCTAATACATCTTTAAAATTTCCTTTTTGTAACGTTACCCCAACATTTTGTAAATTTTATCCCGTGCAATTAGGTTTAATTTGAAAAAGAGCTGTCCATAAGACAGCGCGCTCAACTATTCAGTAAGAAAAGGGGCGTAACTCTGTAGAACGATAACTCAGAGTTATTGGACCTGTACCAATCATGTATCATTATCACAGAGAACAAGTGTGTGTGTGAGGTTTTAACCCATTCCCTTTTCCTTTGTTTTGGAGATACCAACTAACACGCAAAAACTTATTCTTCGAAAAGCCGAGGAATAAACAAAAGTTAAACATTGTATTGAAAAATTAATCCACGATTATGCATCGTGTTGAATTACCTGTTATAGGAGCATTTGAGTAACATATTAAAAGTACACAGTTATCCGATTAAAATTTAAGTACAAACATGCAAGCTTGTGATTAATTTATATGGACATGCACATTGTCGCATATGGAAGATATTTTAAATAGAGAGACACTGAAGTTTAAATACATTCAGCATGTAAATTGTTAAGCATGTTGGTTAATAAAGTAACGCCTTCGATTCTGGAATCTGTGAAATTGTTTGCCCATCTTTTGAATTTGGAACAGTCCATACAAAGTTAAAGCGATTTCAAAAACAAAAATAAACAAGGGTTGTCGGCGGTATGACAGCTTACTTAGTATTCGATATTTTTCAGTGCTTGATAGGATTTTTTTTAAGTTCAAAAGGGGTCAATATTCTGTTTAATCCATGCCAGAGTTATGGGCATTGGACAGTGACTTCTAAATAAACTCATAAATAGGTGTGTGAACTTTCAACCCATTCTCTTCCGTAGTTTTGGAGATGCCAACTTGCGAGCAAAAACTTACCCGAGCGTAACGACGTCTGATAGAGTACAATTTCTCTCCCAATCGCAACTTTTCGACCCTTTCCGTCAGTCTCCGGATAAGGAATATTATTATTAGTATGAATAATAGCCAAGAATGTTCCCTACTATTCGAATAGTCGAGCTAGAAATAGCTACCAGCCTGATATGACTGTACTGGCCTGTCTCTACACTGGCACTCTCGCTTCCAGCAGATCAAGGCTAAATTCAGTGTAGAATAGAATAGAACAGAACAGAATAGTATAGAATAGTATATAGAAAAGAATAGAATACAATAGAATAGAACAAAATAGAATATAATAGAATAGAATAGTATAGAATAGAATAGAATAGAACAGAACAGAACAGAACAGAATAGAGTAGAATAGAATAGAAATAAATTTTGGGTCATTTGTATTAACTATCGCTTATATATCAAATGAAATGTCACACATCTATAAAAAAAAATATCATATTTGACGAAAATCGCACTCTCGCGCAAACAAGAAAAACATTAATTATGTCATTGAAACAACCCGACGGTTATTCATGATCATTATGCGAACACTGGCGGAAAGGGCCGAAAAGATGCGACTGTATGAAACAAAATGTTATAATGATCAATACATCTTGTTTAACTAACGTATGAAATTTATAGCGATAATTATAAGCGGAAAATGAAGTGGTCGACAAAGTCGTGTATTTTTTTCTACAGATAAATCTCCTAAAAAATAGGTACGATCGTGATCGACATTTATTTTCGTATTCAACTAAAGTAGTAACTATCTTTCAGTCTTTGCAGAGATTTACGTATAGTTTCTGTGTTTATCTGTAAATAATTTACATGATTCACAGTACTATTTGTGAATAAATATTTGATAAGAGACATATCTAACCGAGCCCGTGATACATTTAAAACATGGTTAGTCAGAGTATACATAGACACTGTGACCAAAGTCTGCTTGTAATTTGCTTAGTGCTGACTTTCACTTAAAGTACACAAGTAGTGCAAATTTGAACAATTTCTATCAAACAATTTAAGAAGAGATTAAAGTTACTTTAAAGGATTTGGAATGTTATAAAAAGTCTTAATACGGCTTATCTCCTTAAATTGTGTCTGCTTTTTTTTCTTCTTTTTCTTTCACTAAGGGCTTTATCTTTTGGTAAAATGACAAAAGATAGCTAAAATAATATTTCAATTAAACGCATAAAATATTAGTTTGTATTAAGTATGTTGTCCTCGTTAAATATTTTCTGTTTACTAACCGGTTCGTGAAAGGTGTTTTTAACCCTTAAATGCACATTATGCCTCAGAAACGAATAAAGAAACGGTAAACAGTAGTTTTATAACGTTGAAATATTGGTTTAAGAGCATGTAAGATGTTTGTCATCTGAACAATGTAGCGCTGAATTTGTAATTATTTTGTAATTATTTGTCATAAAAGAAGCAAAATGTCAAGAAAGTAGTACTTTAACTTCCATACAAAATAATAAATCACTATAACTGTACAAACTGCCAAAAAGCAAATTGTTGTGTTTTTGCAATATGTATATATATGTTTGTATTGCCAAAGGCAGAAATCTGTCGAATTGCAAATAAAATTTTGACTTCTGACTGCCAAAAAGCAACAGAAGCAAAATTCGGGTAATTGGCAAATGAGTAACTTTTTTGAAAACTTAAAACAGGACATCATAATTTTAAAAAAATGAGAAATAAAAATAAAAGTATTCCTGGGGTATAATCATGGGCCTTTTATGTGCCTTTGTGATATATTTTTCGCTACTTATAACTAATGCAATTTAGTGTAGATGTGTAGGTACATGTATAAATCGGTTGTTAATAAATAAACTGAGTGCTACAAATAACGTCATATCTTTAATACAAGTTTATAATACATATTGAAGCTAATACCAGCTTACTGGTCAAATATCTGGCCTTTATGAAAAACAGGGACATGCTTTTGTTCTTATATTAAAACATTTTTATGACAGGAATGACATTTTTAAATTTAACAACAACAGACAACAAAAACAACACTTGGAAGGCACACTCTACCCATGGCAACTAATAAGGGTCTTTATACCAATTTATTCAGTGCCACACCCCAGATAATTTCAGAGCCAACATAATTAAACAGCTCGAAATTTGTTGAAACAGGAACTTTGCCTTCGGTGTGTTCTATGAAAGCCAGCGTTTTCTTTTGGGCCTTTTTGATATGGTCAAAATAACTTCTTTCGTACGACCGAAACGTTATCACATTGAAACTATGTACATGTTTTTTACCAAATAAGATGACATACAGTTCGGGCGGCTAAAAAGCAGCGTATGAGCGCACTTACGTACAAGAAAAGCACACAAATTTCTGAAAAAAATGTAGTTCCGCCTGTGTTTTTCACTGTTTTGCAACAAATCATTCCTTTCCAGCTCTTGTGTATTTATAAAACTGAATTTACAGTTATAGTTCAGCATTTTGTTGTCACAGAAATTATCACCATTTTGACCCATATAACGTCACTTTACACAAACGCGCCGTTATCTCTGAGTGAATAGCGACGGAAATATGTCTATAAATGTAAAGAGAAGAAGAAAAAACCATATTTCCGCATATATGGTCATTTTTTTTAAATATATTTTCATTATTTTTCAATTAAGTAAAATTAACTGTGTATAGAGAAAAAATAAAATCTCACCCCAAATGTCCTTATAATATTATATATCCAACTTGAGTTACACGCCTTGAAAAACTATCCACTTTTGAACTGTCCGGTACGGGAACCATTCACGAGATTAAATATTATCCCGTGTTTATCATGTCATGACAAATCGGGTACCTGTTAGCCATTTAGATTGTTTATCAGTGTTTGATCAATAAGCGTAATAACTTATTACGTAACAGTTACTACAAGTTTTTTTATTACTTGTCATTCCTTGTGATTAATCTCTAGGCAGATAATTCGGCTTCCATGTCATAAAATACTTGCTGATAACAGAGGCTTTTAAAATAATATTAACTCCGTGCTGATAAGTTAAAACTTTATGACCTAAGCTATGTAAATAGATTACAAAAAACACTATTTTTTGTATTTTGTCTTTCTTATTTATTTATTTATTTTATTTTTGCATATCACGTGGTCATTATTTTAAAAGAACATTTACAAAATACACAAACATGATAATGAATCTGATAAGAAGAAATACTTTTAAAGGTACAATCAAATAAGATACTAATATACCAATATTTAAAATAGTATATCTTAATGTGATGTCTTCTTTTTAAAACGTACCTCGTCAGAAAATAGCTTGAATAATAACAGTGGGAACATGTACATCTCACAAATGCATTGGTAAAAATGGCCCGCAAAAATAGATAATAATAAAAATAATGGTACTCATGTTCAATATCAACATAATTACAAAGTTGATAATATTTTTCTTTCCTTATATAACAAAGAGTAACAGACTGCGCGGTTACATATTAAGAGAGTTAAAGCACGTTAGTTTCGTGCATTGACACGCTTATAATCATACCGTCTAAATTTAACACCTTTTAGCCCCATTCTTTTCGTTCTGGATAAAAATCTACCTTTCATGTACCAATGATTACTCCTTTATTATAATTATTTTTAGGTTGGTTTTAAAGATATAATATAAAAACATTCGCTGTTTTGTAAAGCGCGTTTGTGACTAAGCCCTTAAAATAAATAAGCGGGCCGAGAGTTAAATTTTATTTTCTGTTGGAAAACCCACAATGTGATGTTTCAAACTAAGTATTTCAATAATTTAATATCGGAAAATTGCATAATTATAAAGTCATATTACTGGAAACAGCGTCTCGAGAGTACGGAAGAGTATACTGACCCCCCTTAAATATTTTATATGCCTGTTTAAAATACGACGATACATGATAACAACATAGTTCGTAATGTTTTTTTTTAAAGTTATATATATAGTTCATATTGATCTTTTCTGTTTTTTGGCTACTATACTGTTAAAGATACGTATTATAAACTTAAGCCTTTCTTAAGACCTTACTTTTATTTATAAGAAATATGTTTTTTCTTCTTTTCATTGAAATTCTACCTCAAGAAGCAGACGTTTTCTTCGAGTAAACGCTTTTATTTATTTGAAAACAGTATGTTTTCGAGGCATTATTTGTTTGACAGATATAGAGATGATATAATCATATATAATATATACATGTATATTCTTTACCTGAGTTTTTAGCTTAGATGATGCTTTATATGTTTCATAAAATAAGTTTACCGTTATGATAACACGCTTGCGGTACACGAGTATTATATAAAATATTATAATTTATCTGATATATATTATAATTATATAAATGGTATTGAAACTTTGAGTAACTTATACTATAAATATTTCTTACATCTTTTTCAATGATTATACATGTTTTTTTTATATCAAAACGAGAAAAGGGCCATTTAATATTATAATAATAGATGCGACTTATTATACCAAGAAAATCTAATTTAATTTATAAATTCATACATCTTTTTTCATGAGATTCATATGATAAAGGCTAAAGTGCACAACTACTGTATGTTCAGAATCTCTTAAATTTCCAAATATCATTGAAGAAACAATGCATATTTGTGATTTATGGTGTATAATAACAGATAAAACTCTACAAGATCTATTTTAGATATCATATAACTTGTCAATTTTTTAAAGATATGTATTATACAAAGGTTTTTTTTCTTGAAGGCATAAAAAATATATAAGGGGGGTCAGTATACTCTTCCGTACTATGCATAACGCGTTCGTTTCTAAATATAGAAGGTCGGGCTTTACTAATTTAAGTTTAGACATCGGACCGGTAGATTATAACCGGGGTCTACAAGACTTACATGTGTTTCTTTCTTATCCTTGTCTACATATGGAAACTTTATATTTCTTCCTTTTTATTTCTATAATATCTTAAATACTTTTCATCATATTTGGTAAATTTTACTATTTGTACATATTTTACTTAATCTTGCTACTTAACATTAAGCCGATTTTAGTCTTTGCGAGGTTGGGCGCAGGAAGCGATTAAAAAGTAATCCGAATGAAATTTTATGAGCGCATGCGCATTTTTTCCCCGCCAAAAAAATAGTCGAAACTTATAATCCATAATGCTATTTAGAGAAATACCGGTAGCGAATGTGGCCAGAATGGTCAATCGAAAAACCATATCGAGTATTTTTCATTGAAGTCTTTTTAATTAAACATCCAATTAGAAAATGACCTATTTATGGTGAAGCTTATGCAAACACATTTTAAAACCCCAGATCTACAAGGATTTTGCCACACTCAAATGAAAAAAGAATATAGCGCACATTATCGTATCTTATCGGCCCTTTCCGGCAAACTTCGGATTAGGACCTCGACGGTATTTCGGTCTAAAACGGGTCATAGAAATAAGTTTTTTTTTGTACCGGCCAGGTCTAAACTGTGCATATAATTTAATGCTGAGAGTTGATGACATAGTTTATTCCAATATATCGAGTAAAACACCGTTAGAAACTGTTGAGAAACTATACAAGGGTCGAATATCATTTCGAAATAATTTTTTTAACAAAAATAATTCAAAATTGTAGAACTTACCGTTAATGGTGTCCCATTAGGGAGTTAGCTATCAGCTCATTGAAACACTCTCGAATCCTTGTCTGGAACCAACCAGTTCTAAGCAATGAGTGTAAAGTTTCTTGCTCACGAATCAATGGCTTGCCCCTGATGGGGTTTGAACCAATGAGGCCAGCGATCATAATATTACTAGACCGACAGTTTGCCCATGAACGATGAAGTGGATGGACGGTGCTCTTGTAATTTCATATTGGCTTTATGGTAAATTACAAAAACCACTGAGCCACCACCAGGAATTATTTATGCGTTTCTTACTACCTCTTAATTACTACCCCCATTGAATATAAATATATTATATGGAAAGTATGCCAAAGGACAGGACGTGAAGTAATTAGCACACTTAGTTCAAGCGAGAAAAGAGGTAACAGACTTGACAAAATGGCCACCGAACTATTTTCTCAAGGTAATTAAGTTGGTTTGTGTGTTATTTTGAACTATGCATTAAGGAAATGTGTATGACACAATGTGGTTTAGGTTTCAGCTTCCTAGCTTCTGATATAACGAAGAAATTGAATATATAAACAGGTCATGTACATATGTTGAGTTTTCACAAGTGACAACATACATTTCGCCGCACAGTTCTTAACACATGTCACAACACTCAGAAAGCAGAGTTGTCCTGCAATGGGCTCGAGTATTGGCTAGACATGTTTTTGAGCATGCGCAATGTGCATATATTATTAACTAGCTAATCAGCTGATATTACTTCCAAAAAAAATTTCTATTAAAAAGACGCTGTTTAAAAGTTGATTTCAAGGACTAAAGCCATTGATACAACGCATAGATAGGTTTTTATTTTACATTGGCATAATTACGTGGTAACTTGTGGTAAATATTACAACAATTTAGGTGACCAACAGATGTAAACAAAATGGAAGATTGTTTACATACAGAAACATTCCTGTTTTTTGTCACTTTTTTCATTTATATTTAGTATCCTTATTCTAGCCACATAACATGTAGAACTAAAACTATTCATTTCCAAAATTTATTTGTGTCAGTGCCGTTACTTTAAATGAGCCGCGACATGACAAAACCAACGTAATGCGTTTGCGACCAGCATGGATCCAGTACATAATAGCGATTACCATCCAGTACAGCCTGCGCATCCGCGTAGTCTGATCAGGATCCATATGCTGTTCGATTACAGAACCTATAACAAGTAAAGAAACTGATAGCGAACAGCATGGATCCTGATCAGACTTCGCGGATGCGCAGGCTGACCTGGATCCATGCTGGTCGCAAACCCATTATGTTGGTTTTGTCGTGACGCGGCTCAAATGTGAGTTGAGATTTTCTGAATCACCTTCAGAAGTAGAAAATCTGTAACAAAATCACAACGTTTTCAGAAGTGTTTTGGTACGGAAGTGTCCTTTTAAAAATCCTAATAAGAATCTAAAATTCTGGAAACAAAGTGATCCCTCGGAAGCATTAATCACAACAAAATTACAAGAGAACTGCAGACTCGGTTTGATTGAGTCTGTACATGAGGAATAATGATTGAGTGCAACATCCCTCACGCCCCCTAGCACCGGCTTGAGCGGTACTCAATTCTCAACACTTAATATTGCTGGCATCAATGATCCCGAAGGACCAGAAAATAAAACAACACTGAAGTTGGTTTCAAGAAGTTTGTTTCTTTAAATTCGAAGTTATGAAAGCCTGTATAATAACGACGTTTTTCTTTTTATACGCCCGGAAAAATTTCGGCGTATGTCATGTACCTAGCCGTCTGTTCGTCCGTCTGACAATGTGCAGAGCGCAGATTTGACCTCTTTCATGTCGAGGTGATGGTCACACTTAGTAATTTTGTATCAATTTCAAAATTTCGTGTTCGCTCTGTATCTTTTGAAACGATTGAAAGAAATTTTTAGCAGAAATATTCAATATTATGAGACGGTGTGTAGAACATATGTTCAGGCTTCCCGAAATCAAAATTGGCCCCGCCCCGGGGAATACTTGATTTATATAGACTTATATAGGGATGCTTCGGTGTCCGATCTCTATCTCTTGAACCGATGAAAGGAAATTAAAACTACATGTACAGTATATAGTTGGCAGAAATGTTAACCATGTAATGAGACGATTTGCAGAACACAGGTTCGGGCTTCCCGAGTTCGAAATCGGCCCCGCTCCGGGGATTATTTGATTTTTATAGACTTATATAAGAAAACACATTTTAAGTTTCATTGTATGAAACTACAATGTCTAGATCTAAGATACTTAGCATATGTAGCATTGCCTTATTAACCTTTACAAAACTGATACGAATAATGCCCCTGGGTTCAATATTGCCCAGCCCCGGCGCTGCTCTTGTTTTTTTTGGTAAGGAGTGTGTAAATTATGAAGCAGTAAGTACAGGCACAACTTAAGATAAATCCAACTTGCTGGTTTAGGTTAACAGATGGACGAATGTTCTAACGATACAGTACTTATGCGGCTACTCCATTGTTCTCTCTATTGTTTGAAGGAAATAGCCACATAAAAATATAAGAATAAATGACATCAAAGAAAAAGTATACAGTAACCTATTGTTCCTGTAGCTACATAAGTATCCAAATGTAAGCTTGGACGGACTGACAGACGTACGGTTCAATTATGATTTGACCGGGGGAATAAAAACATTATTTTCTTTTTCATATTTGACATTGACGGTCAGGTTAATTCAAAGGTCAAGGTCAAATTTGAATTAATCATCATTGCAGTTTTGTCATAAGTGCTCTTATTATTATTATCACATCCATATATCAGTCGCGTCACAACAAAAGCAACATAGTGCGTTTGCGACCAACATGGATCCAGACCAGCCTGAGCATCCGCGCAGTCTGATCAGGATCCATGCTGTTCGCTATCAGTTTCTCTACTTGTAATAGAGTTGGTAAGCGAACAGCATAGATCCTGAATAGACTGCGCGGATGCGCAGGTTGGTCTGGATCCATGCTGGTCGCAAACGCACTATTTTGGTTTTGTCGTGACGGGGATCATATAAATAATTAACTTTATTACATAAATCTATGTAAACTAAGTGACCAGCCACAGGAGCAAGACGTGTTTAACTTTCTTATGGGTGAAAAAGGCAATGCTACATACCAAATATCTAAACTCTATGCATTGTTGTTTGTCAAAAAGACTTAATTCCTAAACATCTGTATCCACATTGGCAGGGCTAATTTTGACCCCTGTCATGATTTGATTTTAGATTAATATACCTTTGTTGAGAACAACCAGGTGATGTTACAGGCATAATACACTATTGTTCGAGATTTTATTTTTCAAGTATATTTTTAGCTACTAATGCCACAGACTGGAGCCATTTATATAACTTTTGTAGAGGGCCAGACAGATTATTTCAGTGAAGTTTGGTCAAAATCCACCATGTGGCGTAGCATGATATACTTGGTATAGTCAATCTTATATGTTAATTTACACTTATCACGTGACTCAGGCAGTGAAAAATGACAAATTCTCTTGCACTGTATGGTCTGAATTAATAATAATTATTACTCCAATTGAAATTCTTCGTTTGCTTGGACAGCCATCATTAAAGGCAGGCACTAGCCCTACAGAGAAATCCTGCAGTTCTGTCTAAATGTATTTGATTGGCTAATTATACTCAATATACTTCAATGTTGCAGAAAGACCACCAAATCTACATATTTATTACATACAAAATACAAATACAATATCCATTTTTAAAGGACATAAAAAAATACAATAACACAAATTTTCCTTTGAAGGTATGTTTTAATGAGTAAGAAAAATGTACAGAATATATTAGCAGTAATTGGCAAGTTGTATGTACACCAGCAAATGTTTTATGAACAGCGACAGAAAGAAAAATAAAAGTGTGTGTGTGTGTATATATAAAATACATGTACATAACCTTCACACAAATTACTATAAGATCACTCAGTTACATACATAAACACATGCTATTCAAGTTTTTTTTTGCAACAGTTTTTTTCTTCTTAAAAATAAAGCGAACATTTGCAGAATAAAACACTTTGTAAGCTTTTTTTTTTACAATTGAAAGTTAAAAGGGGGAAACAACTCTATGCTACCTATGCTAGCTCAATATCAAATACATATTAATTAATAATAATCATAAACATACAGTTCAAATTTGTGTTACTTAACTTAATTCAACTATATTCCCTTCCAAGCTGTTTTGTACAAAAACTAACATATTTGACTTTTATCAAAATGTAAGTATTAAACTGTTTTCGTAAAATGTTAGAAAAAAAATACCACCTATTGCATTGACTCATTCTTAGTTTTTTATCAGTCTAGAAAAATAAGTTTAAATCATATTATACATTCAAGTTGCCATTAATCTTTGAAAAAATGATAGAAACTAAAAAAGAACAAGAAAAAAATATGCCAAAAAACAACAGCATATCTTGGTGGTCGAAATAATCGAAAAACTGTATGCTATAAACACCAAGGTATACTTTAACTCAAGACTTGTTGTTTTTAGAAATTCAAAGGAAAAATTAGACATTTTTCAGATTCTGTGACTTGAATATTGATGAAAAAACTGCATAGTGAATAGATGTTATCCGGAACTCGGCAGATTTGGGTTTTTCCATGCTAGTCCCCGTTACAAGAAAAATAAACTTTTACCGTTACAGCTTCACGGAGCACTACCGGTCGCAATAGATTGGTCAACCTGTTGCGTTTATTTTCGAAGCTGTAACTGTAAAAGTTTGTGTGTATTCCCGGATTAGCAAGGAAAAACAAAATATTGTTTATTCCAGAGTAAGTCTATTTAAAAGAAAAAACACAAATATAATATACACCTTTTACATATCCTACAATGTACATAATACAGATGAAGTTTTTTTTGTCAATATATATTTTAATACAAAAAAAAATAATAATAACATAATTTATAAAGATTATAACTCAAGAATAATACATTGTATAAAATAAAAACATTTAAACATATGATAAGCACTCAAACACAAGTCCTCCAATCAGAAACAGGTTTAGAAAATTGCTAAAGAAATGTTGCAAGTTGTCATTGGTCAAGCCAAGGAATTTAAAATTACAGTCCACCAATCAAAAATGGTTTAAATAAATTACTTAAGAAATTTTTTGTTTTGAGTTTTGATTAAGTAATAAAAGAAGATTTTCTCCAGAAACCTTCAAATCATAACAATATTTTGTATAACCTCAGCAATTTTCTCAACCTGTAGTTTATAAAAACCATTTTCTCTCTAACAAAAATAACCGTATTCCACACTACTGGCTACATTTTCCTCATTTCTTTTCTAAAATTCTTAGAAAATAAAAAATACGCAATGAAAAAATCTCTAAGGTATTGAATTGTTCTGTTTAATATACACACAGTTCTCTCGGTCAGATCTGGTTTCATTCTATGCTAAATAATGAATATAAAAATATATCAAATGTTTGTTAAGCTGAACAGGTTAACAATCATTATAACAAAATCTTTTCTCAATCAAGAGTAGAGGAAAACCATAAAAAGAAAAAGTTGGGTGTTAAGAAAAATGAAATATGGAACGAAGACCAAGAAACAAAGTTTTACAAAACCCTATAAGAAATAATAAAGAGAAGTAATATAGTGAATTGTTCAAGATGTCATACATAAATAGTACAGTATATTATCTATATATAGGATATCACACAAGTCCTCATTAAATAAACCTTCATCTTAAACGAGCTTGGTAAAAAAATTTTTTATAAAGCTGGCGTTTGGAAAGCGTTACAATAATAATACATTTTGGGCCAAATTTCAAGAAAGTCTACATGAAAAGGTAACCATAATGGATTTTTTTATGCCGATATATATTAAACGAAAACATGTTAAGACCTGAAAAATCATCAAGTATTAGTGTTATTTCTAAATTTATTTCACCCAATGACTTTACAAAGATGTGATGACCTCTTGACATTTTGTACTACATATTTTGTAACATAAAAGTAAGATAAAAAAAAATTTATCATTATATAACAAGTGCCATCATTTATTCAAAGTTATTATTTTCTCATGAACAAGAAAATTTTGAAAATGTTCAAGAACAATTATGATATAAATTATCCCATTTTCTTAAAAATTAATTTCCCCTAATCAAGTATATTTCATAAGCATTCAACACAGATAAGCAAAAGATAGCCTATATTGTTTTATTATATTAATATAAATGCCAAACATAGGTACACTTATTTTTAATATAATTTTTGTCAAAGATTTTTTTTTAATTCCTAATCATGCCCATTCAAACACTATACATTTTTTTGGTTCGTTTTTTTTTAAAGATTTTTTTTTTAAATAAATGAAATTATTCACACAATTAAATATCATTTTTGATATATATATCAGACAATGTTATGATACATAAACAAAAGCACAGGCATTCTTTAATAAAACCATCACTAATTCAAACACAAGAACATAAATGAAGACATCTTAAATCAAATGACAGTTGTTTTTTTTTCCAAGGACTTTCAAGCAGTTAAAAAAGAAAAAGAATATGGTCGAATATGCGAGAAAAAATAGCGTTATCACAGTGCCAAATCTGTAAGTACCCCCAATATATACTTAGAAACAAGCATATGTCCATACACACATTTATGCATTCATTTATACATTAAACAGTAAAGTGTTAAATGCAGAGAATAAGATAGAAAACTCACGTTTTCCTTCACATAACAAGCTTAACATACAACTACTTCAATACATTATACAATTAATTCACATGAACAGGATTACTATTTCAAATGAAGAGATTTACTTCAATTGTAGGGAACTACTACTTCAAATAAACTAGAACTTCATATTGCAAGGCGCAAGATCAGTAAAACCAACCCCTTAAGGTTCACAAATCTACTGATTTAAGCATTTGAAAAATGGACATGCTTCGCAGTCTATAACTTAACCATACCTTTGACCAAAAAGTGTTTAAAAAATGGGCAACTAGACATTGAAAGGGAAAACCATTTCACTGACTGGAACTTTTTACAGCATTACAACAAAAATTTCATGGCTTTTTTTAAAACAATAAACTGGGATGACCTCTTTTCATATAAATCTTATTTATTTTCCCAATATTTCAATAAAAACATGCCCTAACAAGTAGCAGTCATTGTTCAAAATATGTTCTAATGTTGATTTAAAATCGGACATATTTAAGGCTTAAGCACAAACCCAAATCATTCATAAGAGGAAATGAAAGAAAAAAAATCTCAATAATTCAGAATAAAAGGTTAAAACAATATGATCGCATCATGTACCAATCACCACTTGGAGATCTAAAACCCCACAACAAAACATCATCAAGTTGTCACACAAATAACAGTAATTTTCGTTGAATTATTCTTTTCAAACAACAACAAGAAGCTCTGCAAAAAATTGACGTTTGAAAATATAATCCCTATATCTTAGATATGGACCATTATCACACGACACATTGATGATGTCTGGCAGTATGCATTCAAAATTCCTACATTAAAAGTCAATGACCATAATTACTCGGCCAATAAAGTCCCTTGTTTTTTAAGGGAAAGTAAGACACAATGTGGTTTTATTCTCCGTAGATAGATAAGTTAAGGAAGGGTCATCTTTAAATAAAGGAAGACTATTTAAATTTAGTGGCATATAACCATACGATTGACTTACAAGCGAACTTTCATAACTTATCATGAATTTCCTAATTTTTTTGAAGTGGTGCTAATAATTACGTGCAACATGACCAAACTAAAAGTAACTAATGCTGACATTTATTTTCAAGACTATTCTATCGACTTGTGGTGTCTTCGTTTTATCATTAAACTTTTTATGTCGCAGGTTACAAACTAGGCCAGATATCTGAGGTCATCGTGGGACTTACGCGCATTTACATAAAACAGGAACTTCTCAACTTTTCATGATGCACATTTGCAAAAAGTGGAATTTCCCAACTTGCCTCTATAAAATAATGCCTATAACTAAACAAGTATAAGATTTTTTATATTCCAATGTTGAAAATGACTATTAAAACATTTCGTTCAGCTTTATATAAACATCCTATAGTTAAAATAGTGTCATAATGAGATAGTAGCTTTAAATTGCTAAACGCACATGAAGAAAATGTTTATTTATTTTCTGTATTAAAGTAGGACGCACTTCCTTTTCTTCGGGGGCTCGGGTGGCTCTAGTGCCGCTAAAATCGCCTCATCAAATACGTTCTTTAGTCCTTTCTGTAAATAGAATAGAAATAACATGCAAAGCTATAGAGAATAAAGAATATTACAAAAGCTTATAGGGTAAGGCAAAAGGCATACAATTTTGCTGATTTTCTGTGCAGAGAAAAAATGAACAATTTTTTTTCCCCGCCACAGCCAAGAAGAAATGCCATCAAGTATCTGTAAAGAATAAGGTATGTTAAATGGCAATAGTATCTCCATAGCTGTAATAAACAAAGAGAAAAAAGAAAGATATCAACATGCTATATTCACCATATAAAATCAGTTATATCCATTCAGAATTAAAAGTATGTCAGAAATAATTGTGTTCTTTAAAAGGGTGTAAAAGTATATCTGGCAGAATGTACGATAAATTAAAAACAAGACCTGTACCCAGACAGTACGCTCCACTTTTCTCAAAGCTGGATAGTAATATAAAAGTGAAGTAGAAAAGGGGGTATAATATAGTTAAAATGCATGTCAGACAAACTTATCTGCTCTTGATATTGAACAAATATGTAAAGTGTAAACATTTGAAAATTGGAGCTAAATAAAAAATCAATAAAGAATTTTATAAATTTTTGAAAAAGAGAAAAGCACTTCCCCAACAAAAGCACATGAAATGTTGCCTTTTATCTAAAATGACAAAACTTCATTCTGTCAATTTAGCTACTTCAGTTAGCCAGATATAATATTATACCCTTTAACTGAACAATGTCATTTAAGGAAACCATTACATGTTAAGCCAACAAACCTTACATCTGGCCCATACAGGTTAACAAATGTGAAAGACCAAGATCATATCAGTAAAAAGTGAAGAAGTATAAAATATAGTCCTCTTTTCTCAACAACTTATAAATACAAAGTGTCCTGAAACAAACAATCTACCCGTCAACTGCTGGAATCAAAACTGATTTGCTTGAGCCACCAATCTTGAGTCAAGCCAGCCTGCACATCCATGCAGTCTGACCTGGCTCTACACTGTTGGTAATTTAATCTAATTTCGTATTTTTAATTTGAAATCCTATAAAACTTTGAAAGCGCTGTTTCAGATTCAAACCTTTGCAAATCTATTACACAATGTAAGCATTTTTAATGGGTTAATTTTTTCATTATTATAATTCATCCGCCATCATCAATGCTTATGCGAGACAGTTATCAGTAATAAAATAAAATACATGTTTTGCCAATGCTATGTGTGAATGCGTTATAAATTAACTATAAATGTTCTATTCTGGTGCTCCCATGTAGTTACAGTAAGAAACATTTCGGCTTTTTCGGCGCCTCCGGGGGCTCTAAAGCCGCTAATATTGCCTCGTCGAAGACATTCTTAAGTCCTTTCTGTCAAAGAAAAAATCTTATTAAATAAGTTAGCTAACATAAAATATTTCTATTTCTGGCTACATATGATCTGTTGTTATTTTCTTTTCCCACTTTTCATAGTATGGTTACATTAAACCTTATAATACTTGCAGATTTGTAACGTCACTTTTCTTTGGATAGTCGTTACATTCATATAATCTACAGTATATTCAAGGCTGCTGAAAACTTATGAAGTAATTTTTTCCCCCTAACAAAGTAAGCTTACAGTATTATAAAATTCGTAATACTGGTTCTTTGACAAGTTATATGGCCGCAAACTTATAAAGATTTAAATATAACTTTACTATCTGGAACTCAAGGAAATATTTAGCCTCTTAGATTATAACCACTAAGAAACACTACACAAGGGATAATGGATTATCAATATCAATAAAAAATTGAAAGTATTATAGGTAAGACGGTAAGTGTGGCTGAGAGAAAAACAGACACAACAAAAAACTTGTAACCATATTAAAAACTACAGGTTAACCTCTTACTGTCCTTCAAAGTGTATGATTATAATTCCATATCATTAATTACAGAATCATTTGCAAGCATGTATGATAAATTCCATCTTCACATTATTTTATGTCATTAATAGAAATCAGTTATGAATATATCAACAAACCTGAGTTAGGGCAGAGCATTCTACATATTTGACAGCCTTCAATTCTCGCGCTAATTTCTCCCCTTGTTCCGATGCGACTGGTTTTTGTCTGTTCTTTGCTAACTTCTCTATAGTTGAAGCATCGTCACGTAAATCTATTTGTGTCCCGACTAACAAGAAAGGCGTCTTCTGACAATGATGAGTGATCTCAGGTACCCACTGTAATAACATTTCATTTTTTATAGTAAAAAATTCATTCATTTTATTAATAAAGGCAGATAAAATTATTGTTCAAATTTAGAAAAAAATGCTTGTATGAAATATATATTGCAGTAAATTGCCATGTTGGCAATTAGCCATTACCAAATGCAGAAAACCCTACGTAAAAAAGCAGAATAATATTTTCTTCTGTAACATTTTATTCTGTTTACGTACAATATTCATGAGGTTAACTAACAAAACACATTCTATCTACAACTTTTGAGAGAATCAACAATGAGAATATGGAAACAATATAATTTTGATAAAAATATTTCATAAGATATATAGAGGATATTTGTTTGTTTTGCATGTAAGATTGAAATATAATTTCACTGAGTGAACGCCAGATGCAATATTTTCACGAGTGGCGTAGCCACGAGTGAAAATATAATAGCTGGTGTTCACGAATGAAATATATTTCAATCTTATATGCAAAACAAATAAATTTTCTTTTTATTTCATGCTTTTTAACTGATTTTAAGTATTATTTTTACTGATTTTGCCGCGTAACGTCGCGCATTCTCCTTTGTGACGTCATCACATCATGACGTCACATCATCAATTTTGAAATATAGTTCTGTTAAATTTCTCTAATTTTGTTACATTTATAACATGATGTATGGTGACAGCGACTTTCTTTTCCTAAAGAAACAAAATTTACGTATGAAGGCATTTATTTAGGCCTGATATTCAATTTAGTTATGATTTTCTTTTCATCCGCATTCAGATATAGTTCGGCTACAGTGAAAAGTATATTTTATAACTTTCACTAGTGGTTTATCAGATATAATTATCTGATATATTACAATAAAACACTGGAAAGCATGAAATAAACAGCTTTATACCCTTTTAAGCCTTTAGTAAGTATGCCCTTATCTAAGAGCCTACCTTTTCTTTAACACTGCTTTCACACTTCTTTTTTAAAAGCTGATCTTTTCTTTCACATTTTTATACTTCTTTCACATTTTCATATTTAACAACATACCTTTTCTTTCACATTTTCAAACGACGATGGAGACACAACTGAGAAGCAGACTAGGAAAACATCTGTTTGTGGGTAACTAAGTGGACGCAGTCTATCATAATCTTCTTGACCAGCTGTATCAAACAAACCTAAGGTGTATGGCTCACCCCCAATCATTACTGTAACAGCATAATTATCAAAAACCTGTAATAAAGAAAGGACAAGATGTTGTGGTGGTAAAGTAGGTAGTTTACCATCCAGAGCAAAGTTCAGTCACTGCATCGTTCCTGGGCAGGCTGTCAACCAGTTTATCAGAACTAGTTGCTTTCACTTTCGTAAGGAACCATAAGGAAACCTATTTACATGCCAGAGCAGAGGTACAGTGCGAAAGTTATCTGCCCTGACCCTGTACAAAAGTCAAACCCAGGTCACTTGAATCACTGGGCAAGGCACTACCTAACAGAACAGCTCAAGGACAAGATAATAAAACATTCTGGTAATGTATAAAAAAAACATGCATGCAGATCATACTAGAGTGTTAGTTAGGCCTGCCTTTTTTGTAAATTGATAGCCTCATAAATAATTTTAATTTTGTAAGAAGATTAAACCAATCTTCAGAAATTTTTCTGAAACATCTAAGATGGCAAAAGCAAAACACTTGTGTAACCCATACAAAAATCCTCCAACATTCTCTTAAGTGAGCATCACAGTAAGTGGGATAGTTAACTAGCCTAGACTATTACAACTTCATGGTTGAATCCTCTAACTCAGAATCCCAAGCTCAAGCCATCTGGCAAAGTTTCACACATTTGGTTCACACCTATATAGCAATTAATCATTATTTTTTCTTTATCTAATTTTTAAACTAAGTTACTTTATTGTGAACAAAATTCAATTCATTTTAATGGTACATGATTAGAACTGAACTACAAAGATCTTAATTAATGTACATTTGTATCACTGTTACATAATTAAAACCCTGTAAAATTCATTATTTACATTAAACATTTTATCTACTAGAATCAATAGAAATAACCTGGAAACAATTGTCATTTACATAACAGCATAATTATATTATATAGAATACAATAAAATGATAATATAATTTACAACTTTGTTAATGAAATAACCATATTCTTGTTACACCTTCATCTGCATACAATCTACATACAAATGGTCCTTAAAACAGTTTACACAACAAGACTGATTACATCACTATTCGCATATGCCCCAAGATAAAAGATCTACTGGAATATATTAATTCTCCATTTAATAAAGCCAGATTCCCGACTAAAGATTGACATTTGAATCTAAACTAAATGTATTGTTCAAGACTTCGGAAGTAATTGTAAAATTGTAAAAGGAAAATATAAACACTTCCCTTCAAGTTTTGTTTTATCAAAGCACCAGATCTTATGTTTTCTACAAATTAACAGTAACTTATTAAGTCTTACCACTTACTACCTTCTTTTTTCCATTTTTTATACACTAAACGCCTATAGACATAAATATATAAGACATCAGTGCTTTTTAAGTAGAAATTTTCAGAATTCATCAATCTCTGCAATAATTTGCACAGAATGGAACATACATACATGTTTGATTTTGAACTTACTGTGCCCTGTAATACTTTGCAATCAACAACATGGAACATGTATGTTTGATTTTGAACTTACTGTGCAATTATTTACAATAATTTACAAATCAACAACATGGAACCTGTATGTTTTGTTTTATACTTACTGTGGGAACATACTCTGACGGGAACTTGTTTGTTGTGTAGGAGATCAAAAGGCATGTTTTACCAACAGCCCCATCACCTACAACCACACACTTGATTGTCTGCATCTTGTTTTAATTTATCACCTCAACCTGCAACACAAAATAATATACTGAGAAATGTACATGTACAATATTATTGTAGACATGAATATCCTTTGTTAAGATTTTATTGTTTTTCTTTCCTGAACAGGTCAAAGTGTAACAGACTGACAGTATGTAGAAAAATGTAGTTTTCTCCCTGGTCCAAAGTGATGAGTGGGTAACAAATGAAGTAGATTACCACTAGCATTTTCATGAAATGCAGGAGGAATAGAATTTAATAGCTACTTGCAGGATATGACTTTGAATTTTCTTTTTTGAATCCTGGTGTTAGAATTGTATGACAGTCTACATTAAAATAAAACCAAAACATGCAAACTATACAACAAGCCTAATGTTTTCATTGATTCAGCACAGTAGAGCTGTCATCGATAGAGACGATATCGATGTATTGTTGATATTTTTCTGTCAATCAATAATCGATACACATTAAATTTGTCACACAAAAAAAAAACAGAGCTTCAGGCATATGCCTGAAAACTTGCATACATACATGTATGTTGTTTAGTTGGTAACAATATTCAGGGCAGAGCAGTGCCACTTGCCATTAGCACGGATTTACAGACTGGTCATCATCTACAATTTTTCTTAAGCGATTTGAACTCAAGCCAGAATTTTAGAGACATTTAATTTTATATAACTTTATCAGCGTGTTAACTTTACGGAGTTCAATGTACTTATAAATTGTAAGATACAAATCCGTTAATTTCAACAGATTAGTGCTCCGAAAGGCTTTTAACAATCAAGTTTTCGAACATATCTTAACGTTTCCTTTTTATAAATTTAGTTGGTCTGTCTTGTCACATTAGTTTTGTTTATCTATTTTGTATATAAATATGAATAGAAACACGCAATTCTATAAATAGAAACATGCAATTTATAAAAATAGAAACATTACGCAATTTCTAAAAATAGAAACATTACGCAATTTCTAAAAATAGCAACATCAATTTCTAAAAATTGAAACATTACGCAATTTCTAAAAATAGAAACATTACGCAATTACTAAAAATATAAACATTACGCAATTACTAAAAATAGAAACATTACGCAATTTCTAAAAATAGAAACATTACGCAATTTCTTAAAATAGAAACATGCAATTTCTAAAAATAGAAACATTACACAATTTCCAAAAATAGAAACATTACGCAATTTCCATAAATAGAAACATTACGCAATTTCCTTAATAGAAACATTACGCAATTTCCATAAGTAGAAACATTACACAATTTCTATAAATAGAAACATTACGCAATTCTATAAATAGAAACATTACGCAATTCTATAAATAGAAACACTGCTGTTGTTGTTGTTGTTGTTGATGATGATGATGATAGATCTGTTCTGTTATAATATGAAGTTGATCCCTTCAATAATAGCAAAGTTACAGTCAGTTACCGCCAAAACAATGAAAATTTCAATAATTTGACCTTCAAAGACAATGTCATTAATGAGTGAAGGTCAAGGTCTTTCGGTATATTTTTAACAGTTATCTTTGAAGATAATTATGTTCAAGTTTCAAGACAATCCATTCAAAAATAACAAAGTTACAGCCAATAATAGCCAAAAAAATGAATATTTCAATAATTTGACCTTCAAAGTCAAGGTCTGTGTAGTTATTTTTAAGGGATATCCCTGAAGATAATTATGTTCAAGTTTGAAGACAATCCATTCAAAAACTAGAAATGTGTCCATAGGACACGGATGCCCCCACACGCCACTGTTCTGTCAATCTTATGACTCTAGGTCAAATATTTTTTGGACTACATGTGCCACAAGTTGAAAACTAAAAATCAACAAAGGGCCATAATTCTGTTAAATTTGGTCGCAGCAAAAATTCCTACCTTTACTACCATCTACACATTAAGGTTGTTAATCCCTGGAAGTTTAAGCAAAATCTGCCATCCGGTTTAAGAGGAGTTGCGTTCACAAAATTTCTACAAAGTATATAATGAAAAAGTCAACAAAGGGCCATAATTCTGTTAAATTTTTGTTGCAGCAAAAATTCCTTCCTTTACTACCATCTACACATAAAGGTTGTTCATCCTTGGAAGTTTAAGCAAAATCTGCCATCCTGTTTAAGAGGAGTTGCGTTCACAAAATTTCTACATAGTATATAGTTAAAAAATCAACAAAGGGCAATAATTCTGTAAAATTTGGTCGCAGCAAAAATTACTTCCTTTACTACCATCTACACATGAAGGTTGTTCATCCCTGTAAGTTTAAGCAAAATCTGCCATGCGGTTTAAGAGGAGTTGCGTTCACAAGATATCGGGACGTACGGACGGACTGACGGACGGACAAGTGCAACGCTATATGCTCCCACATTGTGGGGGCATAATAACAAAGTTACAGCCAATAATAGCCAAAAAAATGAAAATTTCAATAATTTGACATTCAAAGTCAAGGTCATTTATGAGTGAAGGTCAAGGTCTGGCTGGTTATTTTTAAGGGATATCCTTCAAGATTATTATGTTTAAGTTTGAAGACAATCCATCCAAAAATAACAAAGTTACAGCCAATAACCGCATGAACAAGCAAAAATTGGACTTTTAACCTTGAAGGTCAAGGTCATTTATGGATGAAGGTCAAGGTTAGTGTGGTCTACTGAAAGGTCTTGTCCCAAGGGTTGTTGTGGCCAAGTATGAAAACAATACACCAAGAAATAAAAAAGTTACGATCCAGGTACAAGTTTGCGTACGGGAACGGCAACGCCGACTCGACTATAACAATACCTCTACTTTTTTTTTTTTAAAAAAAAAGTCGAGCTAATAATGAGAATGATCTACATAGTGAACTCTTGCCTTGCGGCATGTATTAGACTTTGTTGATATTGACACGCGTTTTTAACTAGCGGATTAACGGTAATAGGTTGTTATTGAGAAGTAAATAAATTGTTAACAGACCTAGCGTCGTAAAACGATCACAGATCACTAAAAAATCGGGCGACTTCAAAATCGCTTTGAAGTTTGTTTTAGGCGAAGTCGTTGATCCAAGGCGACTTCTTCGCCAAAGTCGTCCCCTAGCTCAAGCCCTGATGAATAAAGAAAATTCGACCAAAACATAAACAAAAGCAGGTGGCCATGTCTAACACCAAGCTGTTGTTACATAATGGACACATTTCATAGCAGTGATAACAAAAAATGGTTAGGAAGAAGTCCTACAAAGGACATTTATAAACACAGCATATTTGTATGAACAGAATACATATTTTACTAGGAATGAAAGTTAATTACAGGCTTCGCGAAACTGCTGAAAAATTTGTCTGACATTCGGTCAGACAAACTTTCAATTCTTGTCTGACCGAAAGAACTTTTTAGTTTTGTCTGACCGAATTTTTTTCCCCAAATATATGTATATGGTAATACCTTGGTGTTTTTTTTTAAAGACATAACAACTTTTAAAGGTTTGCAACACAATTTTATTCCTTTAAATAAAACATTAGTTTATCCAGATTGATGGACTCACAGGCGCTAGTCACATAATCAAATATTTTACATAACCAGTCCATATATGTATATAAAGATATATAGTATATAGCCCATATAAAACTTTAAAAAGTTTGTTTCAAGCACCTGTGGATGGACTCTGTCTGGAAATCAAAACATTCATGATCAAAGCAGCCATTTTTCCATTTACCGGGTACCCACAAATTTTCTCGGCGGGCGCCTGGACTCGTATTCCTTTTGTTTCGCTTTTTTTCTTCATTGGATAGTTTACGATTTTTGCCGGGCGTAGCGCCAGCGTAATAATGTAGTAACACCGTCATTTTGGTTATTGACAGCCGTATGTATTGGACACTTATAATGAAACGGCGAATCAAAACTCGTTTTACATTTTTTTAATCAAGGGAGAAAACTCTGTCTTGATTGGTCTTGGATATATCCCGGTATTCGTACCGGACATAAGGTCCGGAACCCTGGAAAAAAAATCGGACCGGCCTGATTTTTGCCGGACATGTCCGACGGTCCGGCAACTTTCGCGAAGCCTGTAATTATATTTAAGAAATAAGAACTATATATCGATGTATCGCTGATATTTGTCATACGATATCGATGTATCGTCAATATGCTTTGCTATGAATCAATGACAGCTCTACAGCACCAGGGCATTTTTTGTCAAAATTGTGAAGGGGCCTGGACCTGTTCATTTTGTGAAAAAAAAGCGCAATTTGTTATAAAATTGTGAAAAAAGAATTACATAGTATTTGGCATTTAGCGACATTATGAAACCAGGAAATCTGCTTCAAGTTAGTACTTTAACCCGCTTAACATGTGCTAAAACCATTTAACTTGATTAAAACTATAACCGTGTTCTTGAGACTGGCTTAAATCATGTTTTACCGGAAGGTAATCAATGTATTTTAAAGAAAAATTCCCAATATTTTGTGAAATTTCTTTTGAAATTGTGAATTTTTTTTCGCCACTTTGTGAAAAAAAGTGCAATTTTGAATTGTGAAGGGGCCTTACATCGGCCCCTGTTATAGAAGGAAAAAAGCCCTGAGCACGGAGTGTTATTATTAAGACTTACCAATAGTAACTTGTCTATTTATCAGTGTTTTTTTTCGGTTTTGGGGGAAGGGGGTCAGTGCCCATTGGGTGGGGAAAAATAGCGCGTAAATGCCAAAAAAGGGGAATTTTCAGTGTTATTAAAATTCAATAAAAAGACTAAAAATACATGATTTTTTAACAATCCTATAAAATAAATAAAACAACTAATTGAAATCAGTTAACAACTTTATTAACTGAGTGACTTCAGTTCAGTTTGTTTCTTGTTTGGGTTTATTTTTTTGACGGTGGGGAATTTTCGCAATTTCATGGGGAAAAATATATATTCCGAGAGGTGGGGAAAGGGGCCGAATATCGCCGAATATTTCGACCAAAAAAAACACTGTTTATTCACTTTCATATACCTTTTAAAATGATATCAGAAAAAAGACATGTTCTGTTTATGCAAGTATGATGTATCTTGTTCATAAATGCCCATTGCATTATTTTTTTCTGATAATTTTTTTTGTTGACATTACTGCTATGAGATTAATATGTTCATTATTCAAAGCATTTCATAGGCATAATTAATCAATGAGCCTTTAAAAAACGATTTTCAATTTAATATGATATTACTCACAGTGTTTAATCTAAAATGAATTCCCAGGTGGCCCTTTGTGCCCATAACCTCAACAACAGGGGGTCATTTGAGAAAAAAGGGGACCCACACCTAAATTGAACATTAAATTCAAATTTAAGATATAATATTATACCTTTAAACTTACTTGTTCCCACAACTGATAATATGTACCATATATCCTTTCTTACATTTTAATATTCTATTCAAACTTTTGTTTTAATTCAGTATTTTTTAATATTTTTCTGAGTGCGCTGTCGGGCCCACAGCTGAATTTGTTTTGCGCTGGCAGCCTTTTCAGGGGGTCAATGGCGGCGCGCGCTCTAGATCGAACACTGAATTCATACAGGGTTTCAGTTTGACCCTTGAAATGACTCTTTGACCCTTCAAATTTCCAAAAGGACTGATTTGACCTTCAGGATTTTCACTGGAGGGTCAAATTTTGTTAAAATCATGAAGATTTTGCCTCTTAGTTAATAAAACTTAGTGAAAATAACCCTCAGGATTTCCTGGCTAGTGAACACCCTGTCATATTTAATTGATTGCCCACTGATTCGCCAGCAGCCACCTACAACATTGATAACAGACCTGGGGTAATCACTAATCGTAATCATCGATTTTTTAATTGATTACCTTGCTCAAAGTTGATTACATTAATTGTAATTAATCAATTACAGCTTAAATTCAGTCTGTAATTATGATTACAATTTGATTGATATTGATTACTTTTAGATTTTACATGAAACTATTGATATTCAAATGATTTATTTCACATGTTACAGTTTAACTAAGGTAGTAAAATATCAAGTGAGACATTTTAAGACATCACTCACAATGAAGAAATAAGTTTTAATCCATTCTGTGAGTTAACCAAATTCTAACTGAAAGATAGACATCATTGTTTGGCTGGTATTCTAACCAAAATGTCAAATCATTGGATTTATGATGTCTTTGAATTTCCTAAAGAAACATCTGGAAATGTGACAGCACAGTGCAAATTGTGCCCTAAGAAGATAAATGGAAACACTAAGTCACATTCAAATTTCATTACCCACATAAAGGTATGTTAAATTTTGTTTCACATATTTTGGTTAAACCATGTTTTAAAAAGTTTCAAACAATGTAGATAACTTCTTTACTTTGTATATTCTAGAGTTTATGTCAGATGCATATTACCATATTTTAATTATATGCAACAGTTATTTTGTAAGGTGATAGACAATGTGTCTTTTATAAGGTGATAGACAATGTGTCTTTTATAATGGATACTGTTGTACCATTGAAGTTTTTGTAAAAAAACTGATAATTTCTTTGTTAAGTCTATTGTCTCTTTGAATTCCCATATAAAAATATATTGTTTTCACACCTGTTTTAACACCTGTATACAGTATACTGTACAATTGACACTTTTGAAAATTTCTGTTGCAGAGAGTTCATTATGAAACCTACATCAAGAAGACTGAGGACCATCTCTGCATCATTGGCCCCTGTAGAGTGTTTGTTTAGTGTTGTGGGTAAAATTTTCCGTCCTGATAGATGCAGTCTGACAGATAGACGGTTTCACGAACTTCTGATGCTAAAGTTCAATGCTAAAATATGATAAAGTGATGTGACAGTTACTAAAAGTGTGTTAAAATGATGACTGTTGATGAGCTGGAAATCCTTTGTGTATATAATGTATATAATAAATAGCATTAAAAAAATTTTTTGTTTATAGTTATACATGGAAGGGTAATAAAATTATCAATCAATTTTTTTTCCCTAAAAAGGAAATTGAAATTTAAATTTTTGATTACAGAGGCAAGTCTGAGTAATCAATTGTAACCCAAATTACAAAAAAATTTTTAAAAGTAATAGGGTAATTAAACCCAAATTACGGGATCAATGTAATAACCCCCAGGTTAAATTTGATAATGTAAACACATATTTGTTTAAAAACCCTCTTTGGGTTTAACATATGAAAAAGGTTTGGCCAAAAAAAAAAGGGAAAGGGGCTAGCTGTACGGGCCCATACGGCTAGCCAAAAGTTGTAGCAGTATGATAAAGTGCTGTACGGCTAGCCGTATGTGACTCACGTACGGCTAGAACTTTTGGATAGCCGTAACAGCCTGTACGACTAGCCACTTCCTAAAAAATAGGGTCAAAACACCCATGAGGTGAAAAGACGCAAGGCCGAAACGACCAGACGTCTAGGAGCAGAAATGTCCAGTCACCATCAATATGTTGTACAATGTATTACGTAGCAATATATAATAAGCAGATGAACTGTATCATACATTCATATGTAGATGTCACTCAATAAATTGATATGAATATTATGATCTCTTAAACATCTAGTGATTTACGTACGATAAAACCTGGACCTGAGGTCACCAATTTGTTTGCTCTTTTCAATGCAAATCAATTAACCATTCATTTCTAGTAACCAAACAAAATAAAACAAAAATTCAAAAGAAATCTATAATTACTTAAATAAGATTTATTTTGTTGCAGTATCATGACAAGTCACTTGGGACAATGGAAGTTGGAAGGCATTTGTCTTGTGTTTTACAAAGAAGACTGTCATATTTCTGACCAAATTGGCTATCTGAAAACTATTAAATTGACATCATCATCATAAATTTATTTATCGGGTTTATCATCATGGCACACTGGTTAAGATGCAACTGAAAATACACATTAAACCGGAAGAGATACTCGGCCGCCATTTTCTGTCAGATTCCCACTTTTATCATTTATTGAAATTCGAGGGTAAATAAAACATGGTTTCCCTGATTTTTATTCTCCACTTATTATCATGACGAGATATATCGCATTTTCGAAAAATCTAAATTAATTCCACGAATAAACCTAACCTTTGTAAAATCCACAGGGTGTAACACAATTTCTGTCAAAATTATTCACGGTGAGACCGGATACGTCTTTGCGCCTGCGTGCTTTACTTGTCTTCCTTCCTGTACGATATCTATATTTAGATGTCTATTTTTAGTAACGACTCTTCACAATGAAAATTGACAAATAACTTTAGAACGAAATAGATATCATCTATATATATATGAAAGATATGTTTTCTAAATATAGCAACAATATTAACTACTAAAAATAATAATTTAACGTAGTCTGTATTTTCTCAACTATTTTCAAATAATCTAATGAAAAGCATTTAACTTCATTGTCCCTTTTCTCACGGATTTATATTACAAATAATATAAATCCGTGATTTTCTTTGTATATTAGACATTTGTACATTGTAAGCTAAACATATGTTGTTTTTTAAGCTTAATAATATTTGTAAAACAGTAATTAAAGAAGGAAAAATAGGCCGCAATTGATCAAAATTGTATATGTAACATTACATCAGTACATACGGAATCATCCGAATACTCCCGATCATCATTATCCGTAGTTTGGCGGAAATGATCGAGAAGTAACGATTGGCACCTGCAAATAATATTACGGAAATAGCCGAAATACGACGAAAGCTTCCGAGTAGTTCTATATATATATACATAATTGAGCCGTGTCACGACAAAACCAACATAATGGGTTTGCGACCAGCATGGATACAGACCAGCCTGCGCATCCGCGCAGTCTGATCAGGATCCATGCTGTTCGCTATCAGTTTCTCTACTTGTAAAAGGGTTAGTAAGCGAACAGCATGGATCCTGATCAGACTGTGCGGATGCCCAGGCTGGTCTGGATCCATGCACTATGTTGGTTTTGTCGTGACACGGCTCAATTATTCTATTTATAGATATTACGTTTGAAAACTTGTACGAACTTGCCAATCCAATGATTTAAATACAGACGATTTCACAACGTTGCTTCAATTTTGCTTTATCATTCGAGATATGAAGAAGTAGATGAAAACGTTTCACGCTGTTTATAATATTACAGTAAAATATATTAAATATATATAATATATAATTGTATCATATTTATATAGCATTAAATTTTGTTAATTTTAGGTTTGAAGTTTATTTAACTATTACGAAAATTAATCTTCCAGACAACCACATTTAGTCATACGCTCATTTTTAGGGATGATGACGATTTAAACATATTTTCTACGTTGTAACGTTATTTCTATGAAAATAAATGTTGGTATAAATAAGTCGAAGTCTTTTTAGCATACGCTTATTATAACATAAGACAGTACAGTGTTCACATGATTTGCTATTATCATTTTTTTTTGCTTGAAACGTGTACTTGAAACATTGAAATAAAGAAATGTGCGAGTGTTATTAACACTTTTTATCTTTAATTTACAGAAATCATGTTTGAGCTCCAGGATTCTAACTCAAAGATAAATTTGTTATTTACAATGGATGAAAATACAGTGCAAGTTGTGCCGACGAATCAATCCGGCACCATTACAATAGATAGCAACGGATATATTTACGGAATACCCACGTGCGTTACATCATGTGACACTGTAGATGATACTGAAATCAGCAACGCATATAACAGCGGTGCTACAAACTTTTTAAGCGCTGATGCAATGGACATGACAGGGTACGAGCAAGTACCAAATGTTGCTGACTCGTCTTCGATTATGGAAATGTACAACATAAAGGACAAAGACCTAGCGGATGCTGCGGCAAAGGCTATGGTAGACGGGAATATGACGCCTTTAATTAAGGAGGAACTTAAGTGCTCCATTCAGTCAAAGAGATTGAAAGCTGGAAAACCAGAACTGAAAGTAGAATTCACAGATCCAGAACCGTGCCAGGTTAGCATTTTTTCATTTTTTTTTTCAAATATGTTTTTAGCTCTTTTTTTTTTTTTTTTTTTTTTTTTTGAAAAAAAAGTAGAGGTATTGTTATAGTCGGGTCGGCCCATTGCCGTTCCCGTCCGCAAACTTGTACCTGGATCATAACATTTTTTTTTCTTTGTGTATTGTCTTCATACTTGGCCACAACAACCCTTGGGACAAGACCTTTCAGTAGACCACACTAACCTTGACCTTCATCCATAAATGACCTTGACCTTCAAGGTTAAAAGTCCAATTTTTGCTTGTTCATATGCTGTTATTGGCTGTAACTTTGTTATTTTTGAATGGATTGTCTTCAAACTTGAACATAATAATCTTCAAGGATATCCCTTAAAAATAACCAGCCAGACCTTGACCTTCACTCATAAATGACCTTGACTTTGAAGGTCAAATTATTGAAATATTCATTTTTTTGGTTATTATTGGCTGTAACTTTGTTATTTTTGAATGGATTGTCTTGAAACTTGAACATAATAATCTTCAAAGATAACTGTTAAAATTATACCGAAAGACCTTGACCTTCACTCATTAATGACATTATCTTTGAAGGTCAAATTATTGAAATTTTCATTGTTTTGGCGGTAACTGACTGTAACTTTGCTATTATTGAAGGGATCAACTTCATATTATAACAGAACATTCTTAAGGACCAGACCTTGTTGTTTATCAAACCATAATTTGCTTGGGCTCTTTAATGACCTTGACCTTGAAGGTTAAATTACTGAATTTTCTCAGATTTGTGCATTAAATGACCATAATTATGTATTACTTGGTGTGTGTGTGTGTGTGTATATATATATACATACATATCCATCATCATCATCATAATAATAATAATAATAATAATAACTTTATTTACCGAAGGTAACACATTAAGACATATACAGATTGCAACATCTTATTTACAATGCGGCCTTCTAAAATAAAAATAAAAAATAAAAACACACACACAAAAGAACACATATCAATCAAAGAAAATATAACATGTAAAAAGAAATGATCATCATCATCATCATCATCATCATCATCATCATCATCATCATCATCATCATCAACAACAACAACAACAACAACATGTTTCTATTAATAGAATTGCGTCATGTTTCTATTTATAGAATTGCGTCATGTTTCTATTTATAGAATTGCGTCATGTTTCTATTTATAGAATTGTGTCATGTTTCTATTTATAGAATTGCGTCATGTTTCTATTTATAGAATTGCGTCATGTTTCTATTTATAGAAATTACGTCATGTTTCTATTTATAGAAATTGCTTCATGTTTCTATTGATAGAAATTGCGTCATGTTTCTATTGATAGAAATTGCGTCATGTGTCTATTTATAGAAATTGCGTCATGTTTCTAATTATAGAATTGCATCATGTTTCTATTTATAGAAATTGCGTCAATTGCATCATGTTTCTATTTATAGAAATTGCGTCAATTGCGTCATGTTTCTATTTATAGAAATTGCGTCAATTGCGTCATGTTTCTATTTATAGAAATTGCGTCATGTTTCTATTTATAGAAATTGCGTCAATTGCGTCATGTTTCTATTTATAGAAATTGCGTCAATTGCGTCATGTTTCTATTTATAGAATTGCGTCATGTTTCTATTTATAATGTTTCTATTTATAGAATTGCGTCATGTTTCTATTTATAGGAATTGCGTCATGTTTCTATTTATAGAAATTGCGTCATGTTTTTATTTATAGAATTGCGTCATGTTTCTTTTAATAGAAATTGCGTCATGTTTCCATTTATAGAAATTGCGTCATGTTTCTATTTTTAGAAATTGCGTCATGTTTCTATTCATATATATATACAAAATAGATAAACAAAACTAATGTGACAAGACAGACAACTAAATTTATAAAAAGGAAACGTTAAGATATGTTCAAACCTTTCTATGTTTGCGTTTAGAAAAAGTAAAAAGTCGAGCGTTGCCCCCGCCCGGCGGTGGCTCTTGTTCATATCTAGTTCTTGTTTTCCGTAATTTTATTATCGCTGTCCGACAGTACTATAAAACCTGTTCGCTGAAGTCTCTTTAGCAATGTCACATCTTGAGTTGTTGGTAGACCCATATACATGTATTACAATGATTATACATATCATTTTATTTTTAAAATGTAATGTATTAAATGTGTTTTTTTTCTGAAAATATAAATGACAATAAAGGGGATGTATTTCATCAGAATTTCGGAAAAACAGTGCAATGTTCTAGAACTAATCATATACTTTAAAATAAATGTGTTCTTTTCCAGATAATTTAATGTTAATAAAGTGTAAATCTATTTTATTATCAAGTTTTATTTTATGGAAAAACCGACTACAATCATTACAATTTATTTGATTTTAAGGAGTGTTGGGCTTCACAATCCAAGTGTCTGTGGTTAAATAGTTTATAAACAATAAATTAGTTACACTCAATGGAGTTGGAGTTAAAATTTCTTATTTTTATTTCAGTTAACGGAAACAGAGCAGATGAATGTAGAAAAAAGAAAAATCCAGAATCGGTTAGCAGCGCAAAGGTTCCGTAATAAACAGAGAAAAAGAGGGGACCAGCTACACAAGGTAAGGTGGCTGAATCTGGACCGAGTACCAGTAAAGATGGGTTCAGTTGAATTTTAAATGAATTGATGAATTGCAGCGTTCCCGCCATTTAAGTGTTTTTGTTATAAGAGAAAATGAACTTCAATAACGTTTAAGTGAGTTCATGTATTTTTTCAACTTCAATAACGTCTAAGTGAGTTCATGTATTTTTAGCTCGACTTTTTTTTTTTGAAAAAAAAGTAAAGGTATTGTTATAGTCGGGTCGGCCGTTGCCGTTGCCGCCTGGATCATAACTTTTTTTTATTTCTTGGTGTATTGTCTTCATACTTGGCCACAACAACCGTTGGGACAAGACCTTTCAGTAGACCACACTAACCTTGACCTTCATCCATAAATGACCTTGACCTTCAAGGTTAAATGTCCAATTTTTGCTTGTTCATGCTGTTATTGGCTGTAACTTTGTTATTTTTGAATGGATTGTCTTCAAACTTGAACATAATAATCTTCAAGGATATCCCTTAAAATAACCAGCCAGACCTTGACCTTCAATCATAAATGACCTTGACTTTGAAGGTCAAATTATTGAAATTTTCATTTTTTTTTGGCTATTATTGGCTGTAACTTTGTTATTTTTGAATGGATTGTCTTCAAACTTGAACATAATTATCTTCAGGGATATCCATTAAAAATAACTAGACAGACCTTGACCTTCACTCATAAATGACCTTGACTTTGAAGTCTAATTATTGAAATATTCATTTTTTGGCTATTATTGGCTGTAACTTTGTTATTTTGAATGGATTGTCTTGAAACTTGAACATAATAATCTTCAAAGATAACTGTTAAAAATATACCGAAAGACCTTGACCTTCACTCATTAATGACATTGTCTTTAAAGGTCAAATTATTGAAATTTTCATTGTTTTGGCGGTAACTGACTGTAACTTTGCTATTATTGAAGGGATCAACTTCATATTATAACAGAACATTCTTAAGGGCCAGACCTTGTAGTTTATCAAACCCAAATTTGCTTGGCTTCTTTTAATGACCTTGACCTTGAAGGTTAAATTACTGAATTTTCTCAGATTGTGCATTAAATGACCATAATTTAGTATATATTTATTGGTGTGTGTGTGTATATATATATATATATATATATATATATAATATATATATATATATATATATATATATATATATATAAATATATATATATATATATATATATATATATATATATATATATATAAAATAAAACAAAAAACACAGTCCATGAGTTAACTTATTTAATTATTTGCCAACCGGTTTCTCTTATGATCATCAGGGCAAATGTGACGTCGTCGCATAGTAACGACGACGTTTTTGTGTGTTACACATGTGTACGCATAATCTAAAAATAGTAACTTCATTATATAGTATTAAGTTTTGGATTAAAAACATCAATAAATAAATAAATAGATTATGCGTACACATATGTACACAAAAACGTCGTCGTTACTTTGCGACGACGTTACATTTGCCCTGATGATCATAAGAGAAACCGGTTAACAAATAATTAAATAAGTTAACTCATGGACTGTTTTTTTTTGTTTTGATTTATATGTGACTTTTTTCCGGCACTTGTTTTCATTTTTTGTATATATATATATATATATATATATATATATATATAATATATTATATATATATATATTAGGTATATATATATATATATATAACATACATATCTCATATCATCATCATCATATCATCATCAACAACAAACAACAACAACAAACGTTGTTTCTATTTATAGAATTGCGTCATGTTTCTATTTATAGAATTGCGTCATGTTTCTATTTATAGAAATTGCGTCATGTTTCTATTTATAGAAATTGCGTCATGTTTCTATTTATAGAAATTGCGTCATGTTTCTTTTTATAGAAATTGCGTCATATTTCTTTTTATAGAATTGCGTCATGCTTCTATTTATAGAATTGCGTCATGTTTCTATTCATAGAATTGCGTCATGTTTCTATTTATAGAAATTGCGTCATGTTTCCATTTATAGAATTGCGTCATTTTTCTACTGATACAAATTGCGTCATGTTTCTATTTTTAGAAATTGCGTCATGTTTCTATATATATATATATATATATATATATATATATATATATATATATATATATATATATTAATATATATATATATATATATATATATATATATATATATATATATATATATATAAATAGATAAACAAACTAATGTGACAAGACAGACCAACTAAAATTTATAAAAGGAAACGTTAGATATGTTCAAACTTTTCTGTGTTTGCGTTTAGAAAAAGTAAAAAGTCGAGCGTTGCCCCGCCCGGCGGTGGCTCTTGTGTTTCAACTTTAATAACGTCTTAGTAAGTTCATGTATTTTTTCCAGTTTTATCGGATAACTTATTTAACAAAGTGCTAGTTTTTTTCAGGAATGTTCTGAAGCTACAGTCGGTACAGACTCAACTAAGATTCGAACTTTCTCAGGTAAAGAAAGAACGCGACGAGCTGAAACAAAAGTTGCAGGACCATTATGCAATATGTCCATTGCGATATACTTCTACGCAATATTACAGTCAGCAAAAACAGCACAGGGTGAATAAATAGAACGTGCGCGAATCATCCAACCCCAAAAAAGATGAAAACTAAAGAAAAAAAGTTTTGTAAAGTACCATTTACATAACTTCATATAACAGGAGCTTTTTTCAGAAGTCACCTATATATCGAAACTGTACTAATATGTGGTGGGAGTGTAGTCTAGACAACGTCCGGTTAAAAATGTTGACTGCGCGCACATTTAATAAACAATGCTATCCGGAAGCACGTGCGTTTGTTAGTTACGGATAAATGTGGGATTCTAAGTGATAAATGATTATTGGTCTGACATTCTGAAAAAAAAAAAACAGATGAGTAAAAAAAAACAGTAATCTGAGACACATGTGCGGAAAGTTCATATATATATTCATTAAGACTCTGCCATGTGACTGCTATTGAATTCTGATTGGACAGTAGAATGTTTCTAATACCGGTAATGCATGTATACCTCCGTATTGATCGTTTTAATCAAAACATATTGTTTTAATTACTAGATTTTTGCAATGTATGTTTTTCTTTCCTAAAAACTTTTGACATATTTTTATGTTTCTATAATTTGATGAGTCTTGTTAATTATCACACAGCTTTCTTACCTTCTGTACAGATAAACAGAATTTATCTAGCTTCTATTCTTGGTGCCATGTTCATTGTCTTTCAAAATACATGTATATAGTATACATTATTTATATATCGATGTTATTTAAAACTGTTTTCATTTTGATTTTCGAT